AGAACCCGCCAGAGTAAAGCTTCGCGGCCCATTGTAGCAGGCAATACTCGCAGGTTTCTCTTGCGGGACTCTACTATTCGACTCTGAAAGTAGTTTCTCAATATCGTCCAAATCAGCCTCTACAGCCATCATGGCGCCTTTGTCACTACCCCAGGCATCACGTACAAGCGTCGCACGGTGCACTATCAACTTCACAGCGTCTTCTAGTGTAAGAACCTGCGAGATAGCGAGCGCAGTGAGTTCTCCAAAACTATGGCCGACCACTGCTACAGGTTTAATCCCCGATTCGATCCAACACCGTGCGCAAGCGTATTGGATAGCAAAGAGCATCGTCTGTAACAGGACAGTATCCTTAATGGGCGAATTTTGGAATATTCCAGGGAAAATACTTTTTGCGCCATTCAAGCGAGCGACCGCATCAACATTATTCAGATGTCTTCGCAGAACAGCTATTCCTTCGTACAGGCCCTTATCCAAACCAACGAAAGTCGATACTTGCCCCCCAAAGCAGAGCACAACAGGTTTAGGGCTAGGCCGAGCAATGGGTATCATGTTAGAATCGCCTCTCTCTAGAGAGTTTAGCTTCTGATCAAGCTCCTCTATTGAACGCACGCTGAATAGAACCGCCTTGTCAAGAGATCGGTTGCTCTGACGGGCCAAGTTGAAGGAGATATTAGAGAGCGAAAAATCCGTTGCCGGGTAATTTTCTTTGTTAAGAAACCTGCGGAAAGCCTTACCATACCGACGGAGACTTTGGTCATCTAAACCAGCGAGCCAAAATGGACATTTAACATGGTTCGGGACCTTTGAAATATTTTTTGCTATCTCGGTATTAATAAACGGGGATTGCGTGAGGATCATCGAAGCGTTGGAACCGGAGGCGCCGTAGTTATTGATCAAGGCAGCTCGGAATTTGGCGTCCCACTTCTGTAAACTCGTAGGGATGTTCATTTTATCGGCCGGGGTTGCCCCAATGGCCGGGTTCATGGAAGTGTACCCGGGCTGGGGTGGGATCATCCCTTTTTGGATCATAAGCATGACTTTTATCATGGAAACAACCCCTGAGCTGGCCTCAGTATGGCCAACGAGACCTTTCACCGATCCTAGCAGAATATCTTCATCTCGCCCAGAAGCAGGGCCGCCCAATACTTCTCGTAAGCCGTGGTACTCGGCCGGGTCACCAACGGAAGTACCAGTGCCATGAGCTTCGATAACTGATATTTGAGAGGGTTTGAGTCGAGCCCTTTTTGTAACGGCCTGGAAAAGATCCGCAAGAGATGGTGTATTCGGGACAAAGATAGGAGTACAGTTCTCATTTTGCTGCACACCTGTCGCTGCGACGAGACCGAGGATCTGATCACCATCGGCCACAGCGGCAGATAGTTTTTTCAAGAATACTGCAGCTACCCCTTCACCTCTGCAGTAACCATCTGCCTTGGCGTCGAATGGTTTACATGGACCGGTGGTACTCAAGAACGATGCCCCGGCTAGATTTTGGAACCATAAGGGGTTAGTGACAACATTGGTGCCACCAGCAAGGGCAGCAGTACATTCTCCAGTGATTATCGCACGGCAGGCTTGGTGGATAGCTACGGCGGAAGAGGAGCAGGCCGTATCGATCGTTAAGCCAGGACCAGTCCAACCAAAATAGTGGCTAACCTTGCCGGAGATGAAACTCTGCAGATTACCAGTGGCAGAAAATGCATTAGGGGAATGGCAAGCGATATTACAATCGTAATCGCGAGAACAGACACCAACAAAACAGCCTATTTTGTTGTCTCGCTCGGAAGAATGAAAATAGCCGGACTGTTCCAGAGCTTGGTAGGCGCACTGGAGGAACTGACGTTGCTGGGGGTCCATAGTTGAGCTTTCCCGAGGGCTCTTCTTGAAGAATTTGTGATCGAATTTGTCGTAGTTCTCAATAAAGTTCCCAAACCACTTTCTCTTGGGGTCGACATCACGGAAAGCAGTTTCGAAAGAAAAACGCTCTTTGGGCACTTCCTTGTGCTGGGACTTAGCGGAGACCAAGAGGTCCCAGAAGTCATCCAAGGTCTCGGCGCCGGCCACTTTGATAGACATACCCACAACGGCAACATCATTATCAGAGAATGGCCGCAGATCAGCCTCAGAGAAAGCTTCGCATCTCGAAGTCGTGTTCTCCAAATCAGCCATATGTAATACCTGTGAATTAAGATCACGAAGTAATGATGGCGGTACGGCGCGCTCGGAGCCAAAGGATAATATGTACGAGTCCTTAGTCTTCAGAACATTGTCACGGACACTGGACACGGTTTTAAACCACCGTGGTGCCTCTGTTAGGATGGACTGTAACGCGTGATGGTGCAGCGGGCCCCGCGTGATTAGTTCGCCTCCGCAGTTTGACCGGGTGGGAAGTACGAGACCTGATGTAGCGTCTGGGAATTGGAACTCGACGTGAGCGTCAACAAATTCTGTGAGTAATGCTAATTTCTCGATATTGACGTTAGCATGGAAGCGTCCATAGAGACCAACTTCCGAAGTGATAAGCCCAGCACCCCTTAGCTGTTGTTGCAGCTTGGGAATTGCCGAAGCCTTCGTTGTGATGGTGGCGCGGTTCTCGTCATAGTTGACGGAAATGTACGTCTGGACCGTCAAGTTAGACTCAAAGCCACAAAGGGGAGGATAGGTGTGACACTGTGAGGAGTTTCCCCATTGGTGCGAGGAGTAGAACTAAACTCACCCCTGGAAAGCTCTCCATAATACATTGCATCTCCTCGCCACCTCCCGCAGAGTTCCATATAGCACTAAGGGACTTTGAGGGTTCGGTAACTTCGTCTTGGGCATCGATGACAATACCAATTAGCATAGCTAATCGCACAGCGACAGCAGCATACTTCTTGAAGTGTTCACTATTATCTGTACTAGAAACAGCGAAGGCACTCAGAAGTCCGGTACAAAGTCCAAGGGTCTCCGTGTCTGATCTGGACGTGTTGAACGGGTCAATCCGTTGCCCCTCAGTTCTGCTACACAGAACTGTGGCGTATTGAGTGAGATGGGAGATGACGACCAGTGGGATGAGAAGTTTATTCGGAAGAGGGAAGGGGGTTTCAAGTGGTCGCCCTGTTCGAAAGGCGTCACTCAGATCCTCTAGTTGGTCAAGTGCCGACGCAGTCTTGAGGCTAGGAATAAAAGTAGTGAGAGACTTCCATATTTGAGGGAATTCGGAAACGGTGTCGATAGCCCACCGGAACTCGTCGTTATCTGCTACTGTTTTACGGACCCGGGCGAAAGATACCTCATTGAAAGACAAGGCGAGCGGACCGAACAGTAGGATCGTGGGCCCAGAGAAAGGGCCTCTTCGACGGTCTCCCATATCGATCATGGTGGTCGTCTATGAATGTTGTTGAAGGAAAGTTGAATTGGAATTGCCAGATTAAGTGTTGAAATCCGCGTTCGTGTAAGTGATCTATGGGACGTTCACGTCCATAGCACGTCTATTAATACAGGATTCTAACTCTGACACTAGAATATATGAAGGTGCTACACCAGTGTGTCCTGGTGATGAGGGTGTATTGGCCAACAATGATGGAAACAAGCCAGATTGTGCTACCACATAAGTCTCTATTATATAATGTAAGGATTTGAGCAAGACTAACCGGCCGCAGATGTTTTGGAAATTCCGAATCAAGAATCCGAGGTCGGTCAATGGATATAATAAGGTATAAGATAGGTCGATAAAGACGGTAAGGCTAAGCCAGATAAAGTGCTACCTCATATTCAGCTTGTGACTAACCTACGTTACCTTCGGCCCTGGAGAAAGGCAAAGGCAAAGCAATTACAGCGGACTGCTGGTTTATCTCGGGCGATGTGTTTCACAGTGTGTACGTGCTAATGGATTGCAAGTTCAGGTCCATGGCCCGCTACGGAGGGACATTTGAAGGTCGTGCAAGAAGGAAGAGTATGAAAGGCGGCGAATCGTCTAACACTACACACATTCACCTCCTTCCTTCCAGTCGCATGCAAGGCTTCACGAGCGAGCAACACAAGATAAGGGGTTGCAGATAGCACGTGTGAAAGCTGTACGCGAACGATCCTCGATAGAGAAACGATACCCGTAAGGACCTGATGAGCTAGCGTTGATAAGAGGTAGGTTAGGTACGTATCAAGTTGCAATACCGGTTCTAGATGCTAGTATCCAAGGATTGGGTACGCTTAGTAAAAACTCCGCCAGTAATATCATTCAAGTTGTTTTTTTCGTGTTAGTGACATCCTCTTGGAGTTACTCAACCAAGGAGGATTTCGGGTTCATTCCACGCTAGTTTCCGGATTCCAAGGGTGTAGAACTAGTTCTAAACGCTCCACGCATTGTCTTTGTCGTCATTTCCAATTTACCGACTATATTTTGAAACCTATTAGACATGGTTTCGGGTGCTTCGAAGTCGATCTACTATCCGGTGCTATACTACATCGGTAGATCAGTCACTATGAAGTCACCGGAAATATCGTGTAGGCATATGGGGGCGGTCTATTGAAAGGCAGTGTTGACCTTACCCAATATTAAATTTCAGTATAACTCAGCCGAGAGCCTAACTAGTGTTTATCGGTTTTTTCTTTGGTTTTTTTTTCCGTGTGAAGTTCGTATTAACGGCTTAACCCGTAAAGTTGTGGCTGGCTGACTGATGCACGACCCGGTTGCGGTATAATCCGCGGAATATTATTTCTCGGGAGGCTAGTTACTCCGTCACATATTTCCCAGTGTAAGACTCTGTTGTGTACTATGTCTTAGGAAAGGATTCGATTTGGGACGGTAGGTGGGTATCACTACCAGAATCAGTATCGTGACTCAGCCACCATGCTATTTGTTTCTCGCAAAGGGAAAGCTGGATATGCTATGATATAGTTTTCGGAACCCTTCTTCTATCGCGTGGTGTTTTACCGCCCCGTTTCTAATCGAAGCCCGTCAAATTATTTCTTCCAGAAAACCAAGAATCACTGGCGGGATCATATCGTACTCTACCATTATGCCAGGAATAACCGAGGATACTTTGATTGAGGTCGCTATCGTTGGTGGTGGTATCATTGGACTATCCCTCGCAGCTGGTCTTCTTAAACATAATGTCAAAGTCAAGGTCTACGAACAAGCGAAAAGTTTCCGGGAGATAGGCGCGGGTATAGCTTTTACGGCAAATGCTATACGATGTATGAATCTGATGAATCCCGATATCGTTAGTGCTCTGAGGTCGGGCGGCTCTGTCCCTACTTCTACAGATAAGAACGACCCAAATGATTACCTCAGATGGATCGACGGCTATAACAAACGTCGAAAGGACGACCCTTCATACGAGGAGATGCTTTACAAATTAAGTGCAGGATACAGGGGCTTCGAGGGGACACGGCGTGATCAGTTCTTGGAGGCATTAGTAAAGATCATACCGGAGGAGATTGTAGAGCTGAAGAAGCGTCTAAATAACATCGAAGAGAAAGGTCCTAACGGGAGGCTCCAGCTTAACTTCGCTGATGGGACATCTGCAGAAGCCGATGCTGGTAAGTCTCCTGTATCCGTCTACATACATTCCCAAAGCTGGCTTGCAGCTACTAACCTAGGAGGTTTATTCAAGTAATTGGGTGTGATGGAATCAAGTCACGAGTAAGGCAACTCATGTTAGGAAAAGACAACCCGGCTTCTTATCCTCATTATACCCATAAGGTTGCCTATCGTGCCCTAGTTCCAATGGAAAAGGCCATCGAAGCTCTAGGAGAGTATAAAGCCACAAACCAGCACAATCACATCGGGCCAAACGCCTATCTCATCCACTACCCGGTTGCGAATCATACCATGATTAATGCCACGGGTTTTTTATCAGATCCTAACGAGTGGCCGGACGACAAGGTAACGGTCGAACCGGGATTTAGGAAAGATCTGGAGAACGCCTTCGCAGATTGGAATGCTCCTGTTAAAGCTCTCATACAACACTTCCCAGAGACGCTTGTGAAGTGGGCGGTGTTCGACATGTGGGATTATCCGGCGCCTTACTTCAACAAAGGAAATTTCTGCTTGGCCGGCGATGCTGCACACGCATCAAGCCCACACCACGGCGCCGGCGCCTGCGTTGGTATCGAAGACGCGCTATGCCTATGTACGCTAATGAGCCAAGTCAACGACACGCTGAGAGGGGATAATAAGTCGGCGTCAGCAAAGAAGAACGCGGCAATTTGCACGGCATTCGAGGTCTTCGATTCGGTGCGGCGGACAAGAGGCCAATGGATCGTCAACAGCAGCCGCCGTCTGTGCGACCTGGTTCAGCAGCCCGAATGGGCCGACGAGAGCAAGTGGATCAAGGCCGCGACGTGTTTTGAAGAGATTCGGGACCGGTCGTTCAAAATTTGGCATTATGATTACGATGGTATGATTAAAGAAACTGTTGAGGAGTATGCGAAGAGACAATCTATAACGAAGGGATCGGGGGGCGGTGCAATATAGCGTCACAACTAGGTAGTGGGAATATCTAGAATATTTGTGTATAGAGGTTTTGAGTGTGTACAGCGATTAGGACATTATTATATTAGGTAGATGTCAGGATTACTATTGTGAAATTGAAATTTATGGTCTGATCATGTTATGAAGATGATTTCGTTTGCAAATTTACTAGTAACATACAAGCCCCTCGACCACCATCCTAATCTTTCATATCCAGTAAGGTACGGGTAACATACCCCTTAAAGCCATCCTAGTATATCGACAGGGTCATGAACATCATATACTAGTTTATACCGTGTTAAATACTTGGCGTCAAAAGTTACTATAAACGTATCGTCGTAAGGTGCGGGCGAGACACAAGGCAGACATGGTTGCGAAATACTAGGGTACATGAGAATCGTGCCACTAACTAGGCGCCGTAATTCATGCTGACTTATGTTTTGTTTATTCCTTGCTATTATTACTGTAACGGTAAACTTTGACCTCTATCTAGAATAGGATATGTATAGTCTATCACAAAGTGATAGAATATACCCTATAATGTTTTATATTCGTAACACAACTACCTTAGGTTATGTACCTTTAAGTCATATCATCATTGCAAGGTTAGTCTTAAAGGAATAATGCATTATTTCTTGCTTGTATTTATTATATGAATTTTTTATTCTAACGCAAGCTTTAGAGCAAAGGGGATCCTACTCGCCTTTTTATAGGTAAAGAATGAGCTATGTCTGTTGAAATGAGTAGCCAAAGGACTACTTCCGGGTACAGTACATGATATATTGGCATGGAATTTATATATAGGAAGCACTTCCCTCCTCCTCGCTCATATAGTTGATAGACTAAGTCAATATAAGACATGCATACAGCTCATATGCCGTATCTTTCAACAATGTCCTCAAGTGCGAGTTTGACATGGTGGACTACTATACTAGAGTATAACCAATAAGAATTAATGATGAACTTTAGACAAATTAAACTACTTGGATCTTAAGATACTCCACTGTGTTAAGCTCACACTTGAGGATATAGTTATACTCACATAGTGAGGCGTTTAGGCTGATTAACCAAGTATTGCTTACAGACTATAATTACCTAGCATGTTTATTAACTGATCGTACCTGGCTCATCAGCCGCTTGTCGTTGCGGATGATTTGTGGAACGGTTATACGATGTATGACTGGCTTGATACCATCTAATAGCTTGTGTGAGGAGGCTTAGATACTAGTGCTTATTGTTCTATAAGGCTGAGATCCTGAGATCTCAAGGATCTATGAATCATCTATCCGCCACCCCGGTTTTCCAACACCCCGGTTTGCCAAGAACAGTCTTGCAAGCCCACGTTGTCTTTGTGTAACGGTTCTTGCAGACAGCCTCTCTCGAAAATTAATGGCGCAGTCTTGGCATTCTCCCTCAGATTCAACACCACGTATTATATTCGATACAGCTACTTTACAAGTCTTAGAAATTCGGTAAAAATAATATCTTGAATCTTTTACCATTCGTCTTTGGAAATCTCCTTTTAAAAGTTTTTTAACTTTAGAATTGGTAAAGTTATAAGTATGGTAAGTATAAGTGTTATAATTTTATACATTTTATCATATAAACACTTATTTCTTCGCCGCATTTATACAGTAATAAAATAATAAAAATAATAGGCAAATAGAATAGCTTCTTGCAAATAGAATGACATATATGATATGTAATGTATTAATATTCGTTTTTGTATAATCGTTGATGTGTTGAAGAAGGTTATATGCCAAGACCGCGCCATTAATTTTCGCGAGCGACTGGCAGAATGCGTTCCTAAGACAAGCCCTAACATAAGCCAAAATCCTACCAGAAACAGCGTAAAACTCTTGGAGACTCGTCCCGACTGCGTATTAAGAATGCACTTTCCAGTCTTGTGACCATGACCAACGGCGTCTGGATAAACCTCCTCGTCTTCGGATCCGAGCCCTTGCAGCCAACGAACGCCGTGTTACCTACTCCCCTGACCAGTCAACAGGCTTCATGCTGCTCTGCCAACTTTTATCATCAAATCCTACCTATCTGATAATAATGAGCGTGACACAACTACGTAAGATTACCGAAAACGATACAATACAGAATTTGACCTATCCTAATACCGTCACGGTAGGCTTAATAACAATAATTGAAGGGCTTTTTCGGATGTAACAGGAAGTGGATCTGACATAGATACACTAACATCTGGGATTCTTCAGCTTGATGCAAGATGACACCAGACTTACCGTAGAACTTGGTAACCACAATGCCACCCCCACTTTGATAGTTGAATCGGCGAGCGCCATAGACTTGCTCGGCTGTTTGCACCTATTGCAACCTTGTTTACCTAGCTATTTTGACATGAAAATCTTCAGCCGTCAAGCCACACGAGTTGCCCATTGCTCATGGGCCATTGGCAGCTCAGGCCAGCATACTACGACACAAGATAGGAGATACTTAGGTCTGACAAAAATGCTCGGCCGAGCTGCTTGTCAGGTAGCCATGTTGCTTGGTAGCGTCGCCGCAAAAAAAAAAAAAACGTGTTGCTAGGAGGCTCTGAAAGAGAAATGGGTAATATAAATGGGATGTGAATATCCATCTTAACAAAGCAGCTCCAACTCTCAAACCCATCGCGAGCCAAGCTAGTTTCACATTCCTGGCGAAGTCGTCCACCTCTCTTGCTTTGTCCTAGTCGATATCCGAGTTAAGCCATTTTAAAATGAAGCCGATTAAGTTGGGTAGCAGTTTTTCGCTCGTTGCGCCGGTGTTGGCGAGAGACGCTTACGCCCAATGTCGGGGTGCTGAAGTGATAACTCGCGACGTCGCCATCGTCGGCGGAGGCGCGACAGGCACCTATGCGGCTATCAATCTCAAAGACCAGGGCAAGTCCATTATTGTCGTCGAGAAACAGGGAGCGTTAGGTGGTCACGCCTCCACATACCACGACCCCACGACAGGAACCCCTATCAATTACGGCGTGCAACTATACCATGATGACCAAGTTACCCGCTCATTTTTCGATCTTCTCAATATAACTCTTGGCGGGGGCACATTTCCACAGGGAAAGACGACTCAATATATTGACTTCAGGGACGGCTCACCTGTTTTAAACTACTCCGTCCCTCCTGCCAGTGAAGACTACTTCCAGGCACTCCACAAGTACCCCTATCTTGAAACAGGCATCGAGCTGCCCGAACCAGTGCCTGAGGAGTTGCTTCTGACCTGGGATGAGTACTTGGAAGAGTTTAACCTGACCGATGATGCTATCGCCACGTACTCCAGGCCGGCCATCACCGGCGATCCAACCAAAGTCCTCGCCTTGTATGTCTTCAATAATATGAACACGGACATGCTGGAAGAACAGATCGAAGCCAAGATCGTTATCAATGCCAACGGCGATATAGCTGAGCCTTATACTAAAGCCCTGGCCCAGCTCGGTTCCGATGTTCTTCTTAACTCTGTCGTGACCGGAGGTCGACGAGGCAGGAAGCCTGCCGACGGCGTGAAGCTCTGCGTATCGACTCCCGAGGGTAACAAACGTATCGTCGCTAAGCAGCTGGTATTTTCGGCGCCATTCGTGCCGGAGAACCTAGAGTCATTCAGCCTAGACGAGCGGGAAACGAACGTCATATCTAAGTTCGAAGGGGGATGCTACTACACAGGAGTTGTGACAAACTTGGGGCTGCCGACGAACTATAGCTACGCGAACCGGGGACAGAAGACGGAGTACCACATAGCGAGCGTGCCGGGAGTCGTAATGTTCAACCCGACAAATGTAGACGGGACGTATTACTACTGGTATACGTCCTTCTCGGACCTGACGAAGGAGCAAGTGGAAGCAGAGACGCGCTCCACGCTCAAGCTCCTGCAGAAGACGGTGGCGGGTGCGGATGTGAATGCAGAGCCGCGATTCGTGGCTTATAAGAGCCACACGCCGCTGCACCCAACTACTAGCGCGGAAGCTATTCGTAACGGCGTCTATCGAGATTTATACGCCTTGCAGGGTTACCGCAACACTTGGTACACCGGTTCGATCTTCTCCACCGGGTCTTCTGCGCTATGGAACCTTACCAGCCAGCTTCTTCCGAGGATCATTGCCGCTTCAGAACAGTAGGTAGACAGCTGTGGGTCTTGCTGGTTTGCATACGTCTAGGTATACATATTGGCCTGCATGTGTGGGATATGTATGAATAGCAATGTAGGTAGTTATATAGTCGTGCATATGAATCGACTGGATACCTACATATGTTTTTTCCGCTATATCATGCCTTCCAACTCCATAACGTGATGATATGATATCTCTGACTTTAGAATAAGAACGAATACGTGTTACGCGCTTGTTCCTTATGCGAAAGGGGGTAGTTATATTGGCGTCGTTATATAAAAGGGGGTAGCGTATTAGTAAAGCTGACTGGATGAATAAACATAAGTCAAGAATACATAACTAGCCCTATTTTCCATATGTTTTCTCTGGGTTGTTGGCCGGGTCAGCTTCCATCTCTTCCCCCGTGATAGGCCCAAGTCACGATATTACATTATATGCGGGAAAGTCCTGGGTGTCTCATACCGCTACATCTTTAATAGGGTTTGAAATATACATGAGCTAAGTACTTGAGTGGAATCAGACCGGCTTAGGACGTCAGTTAACTACGGCTTCTATTCTAGGTACTTGATTTTTCTTAGTGGCGGAATACGAAGAGCGGTATGTACCTACCTATTATATGGACCAAAACGAAGGCTTTTTTTTTTTTTTTGAGACATAAGAAGCATTCAGAATTACAGGGTGAGACGTGTTAGCCAAGATGGAGCCGCATGCCAAGTACCCAATAGTTGGTAGTGTAGTTGGCAATATGGGGCATGGGTGATAAAGACACATATATATGAATGAAGTTAGAAAAGACATCGTTAGCGATAAAAAAAATAATATCCACCGCCTAGGACTTTAACATATGCCTATATACACATGTTAGGTACCTAATTCATTGAAGTATGCGATGACGTCGCTCACGGATTATGTGCTTTCGAGATACGCCCGGCTTATCTCCTACCATCCTGTTATATACATGTACCTAGTGAATATTCATTAAGAGAAAGTAATATGAATAACGTACTACAAGTTCTATATCATACAACTACCACGTTACATTAGAATAGCGCATCTAAAATACGGTTTAACTTTCGCTCTAATGCCTCTAAGGCTCTTAGTTCCAACGGCCCGGTCCAGCTAGTTCATTGATTACCTGGTATAACCGCTAGCTATTACACCAATATAGCGTTAGTCGCACAGCAGTAGCGTAGCCCCATCACCGATACACCGATACAACCCAAGCTGATGCTCTGCTGTAGATCGTTACTCTTGCCCCCTTATTCCCTCATCCTCTATGTGCGTAAGACTTACTTGCAGTTCAACCACGCGTTGTGCGGCGCTGTAGAAAGTACCTAAGGTAATGTTACACGAAAGCCCCGTCCGTATTACCTTAGGTACACTACTGCAGGGAGCAGAATATGAGAGAATTGCTAAATGCAAGTGATGCAACGATGGACCCCTATTTTAATGATGCCCAGATGAGAAATCGCGAAATCAGATCTAGGGCGGGTCTACATACATGGCCAGCGTCTTGGACTCGATGTATTTGGACTCGATGTATATAATTATCCTCGTTTTGGGCGTAGGGCAGGGGAGCTTAATATACATAGGTAGTAACGTCTTTTAAACGGGGATATCTTGGCTGCACTAGGCCACCCAAGAGTTTCAAGCTCAGCTAGTAAAATGGAAGACGATCTTGCCAAAGAAAGAAGAGACATAGGGAAAATAAAATCCTTAATGCAGTAGCTTCAATGGTATTTACTTTTTGTCTCGGGACTCTTCTACTCTAGCGTGGGTTGGTTCTCTGTCGGTAAACATGGCCCCATCCAAAAAAAAATTTATCTTGTGAAATCAAATTATTACCGCCCACTTCGATGACCAAAAGTCAAATTAAACAGTTTGAGACTGCGATAACACACTATACACAAGATCTCCTCCCCCTCCTCCTCACCTGGTGTAGGAATTAAGACCCGGTCCAAGATTACTAAAACTCATTAAGCCGTGCATGGCTTCTGTGATTTCCTGGAGCTGTTTGCCGTACGTATCGCCCAGCTCGTGGTAAGTTACGAAAAACTCGGCGCATAACGACAATGGTATTGGTGTCAGTGGGTGTACCTAGTTGAGAGTGTCAGCATACGGGTAAGAATAGTGTGATTAGGATGTAGATAGGTAGGTAGATAGATAGTTGGACTAGCCTTGAAAGAATTCAATTGTGATAATTTATTCGTCAGATTCACCATCTCCTTAGCGGCTTTTGTAGATTGCCTCGTGTAATCCGCCAAGACAGCTCTCTTCTCGTCCGCGGGGTGTATCGCCGACTTGATAAGTTGATACATGTAGAGCACCGTCGTCCGCCACATCATGCTGATAAAAAGGAGCATCGGATCCGCTTCCTGCGCGGCAGCAGGGCAATTCGAGTTGAACATGTCCATCCGTTGTACCACCGTAGAATTGATCCATTCGTGCCGTTCCCAAAAGCTTCGCGACTCGTGAATATACATGTTATCGACCGCGGATTGTTGTCCGTGGTTGAGCGCTCGGCCGACGACGGTTGCGACAACGATGCATTCGGTAAATGCTGAGGTCGATATGGCATCTATTGCCGTTATTGCTTCTGAAAGAAATCCGCTTATAGTAGGCTGCTCATTCTGAAAATCTACTTCTGGCGCCGGTAGACGGGTTGTATTCTAGTTAAGGGAGGGTAGTAAGTCAGCACCAAGTCGATGCCAACTAGGTAAATCAATGGAGACATTTGACCATTACCTGTTCGCTAAAAGTCATGGGCGAATTGTTCCGGATACTAATAAATCGGTCCAGGCAGTACGCTACCCAGAACGTCCTCCTCTTCTGCTCCGCATCGACCCAGTCCGTCTGCGTTAAGCTTGCGTCCGACCCATCTGAGTAATGATGCCAGTTGAGTTGAATTAGTCTAAAGGCGCGGCCGGCGCTTATCCAGGCTCTGCTAAAATCGACGCACATGAATTCGTGGATTGCCAATAGGAGCCAAGCCTGGACTTGCTCCATTTCGGTCATGGCGAGACTTATGCATTTCGAGTCGAGGGCCTCGAGAGCTCGCCGGGTACATCGATATAGGTAGTCCCCGATGTTCTGATAGTGCGCTGACACGGATGCAGCCAAGGTCCACATGGCATACCGGAGGCATGATTGAGCTTCCGTCTTAGCTATGTTACGAGCCCAGGAGAAGTATCGGCGTTGGTGTAGTACAGGCGCAAAGACGTGTACTCTGTCAAAGTAGAGCTGATCTCTGCCTAAAGTAAGGCCAAAGCTACGAGAGTGAGAGAGATGGACTTACAAATCTGCCTGCATTAAATTTGATATGTTAATTCCGTCTATCCCCTCCGAGATTTCCGACATCTTTCGAGTCATTACTGCATCCGCGTATCCTATCCCATCATTAAGAGCCTCAAATCCTTGTATAGGTGATGTTGAGGCATGAACTGAACCTCCGTCTAACGAAGACCCTCCTGATGTTGTGCTAGGTCCTGTTCCCTGACATAGATCACGGAGTGCCGCGTCATCCTCAGCAGTAACGGGAAAGTCCCATGTTAAGGGCGGGGGGTCGTTAAATGTAAGACCTTCAATTGAAGTATCTCCGGGAGATATGGATATCGTATGTATGCTATCGTTAGAAGATTGCTGCTGCTGTTGTTGTTGTTGGAGTAAAGTTCCTTCGAGGGTAGCTAAATCGGGGATAAGAATGTTAGCATGAGACTGGTGGTGACTCAAATCGAAGCCCGTTCTTTTTCTGCGACATTTTCACCAAGAGCAGGTCGGAATGCCACTCGAGATATCGCGGCACGTACCGATGCGAGCTTGTAGCGCTTTTAAATATCCACGTTTGGGACCACGAGGGGGACGAGGAGTTGTGATTTGACATTGTACGCCTGATGACAGGCAGAGGCCACATGAAGGTTGTTGCCGATCACATCGGACCTTACGACGACGACATTCTTCACAAGCTACATAATGAAAGAATATTAGCGGTATGTAGGATAGATGTATTGGAATGTTAAAAGGGAACCTATGCTAAGATGTGCGGGTTTGCCAACGGATTATCACTCTTAGGTATCATTTATACCTGTTGAATATGAGAGCTTTGGGAGGAGAAGTATCAATGTCGCCCGCGCAGGATAAATACGACTTGTTCTATCATGAATGAAGGTTTAAGAGACTCATATATCATACCTGCACCTGGATTTTGTCGTGTTGGCGGTGTCGACTTCTTAACGCTGAGATCGACCGGCTGAGGCATCTCAGTGGGAGATGGGACTTTACTTATTACGCTGGTCGGACTTAACTTGGTCACTTTGCAACAATCTTGGGGAGCTAGAAGTTTATAGGGACTCTCGTCGATTAAAGACAAGCTACGTAAAGGAAAAAAAGCAATTATAGCTGTGGGGACCAAGTATTATAAGGTTGTGTGTATCTATAGGAATGAATGACGATGCGGCCGAGGAACTCTGCCGCTACCTACCCGCTAATGCGCGAGGCGTCTTCCACCGATGGGATACATAGATAACCTCCCTACGTGAGTCCTAAGTATAAAACTCAGTTGATTATATGATCGGGCTGACCCTGAACATGTGGTTTCAGGGGGCTTGCTGACCAAAAACCTAACTGGAGGTGGTGAATGGATGACGAGTTAAGCTTTGTAGGAATGATTCCATACCTTCGGGATGCATATTTCCCTCTAGGCTGAGTGATCGCCATAAGATTTGCGATGTGGTCTGAACTATCTATTACATAGGCGTATGTAAAAGAAGTCTAGAATGAGGTACGCTTCAGGAGTAGGTATAAGGTTCACTTCGAAGACGCCATGTTACACTACCATGTGCTATTATCCTTGGAGATAATGAGAATTGACTATTTGGTTATTGGTACTTTTTAACCGGCCACGTGAATGATAGCAGCTGTGTAGTGTATGGCAGTGGCTTAGGGGGGTTGCTAGCTAAGCCGGTTGGCTAGGTGTACAGGTAGATAAGACGGGTTATTTTACACGCCGGTCTATGCAAGGTCTAAAGGAACCGTCTTGGTTACTTCAGCAATGCAGGCGCCGTACAGTAGCTCATAGGTTAAAACAGCAAGTATTACGGCATAATTTTCTTGTGTCTTATAAAGATTAGGTAGTATACGGCTCGGTGGCAGGGAGTACCTGTCTTGGCTGCATATATTTTTCGTGCCACATTTGTGGAATCTAATGACCCCCTATGTCTGAGGCTCTTTGGGTAATGGTTACGTTCAGCCTGCCGTGTCGTCCAACACTCGTGATACGTGATACGTGATATGCAATGCACGATTCACGGGATAGTAGGCCAATTCTGTGAGCAATATCGACCGATTAGGCTCTACGATTTGCTGTAAAAAGTACCTAGTTCCCAACATCCGATTATATTTCTTGTTATTGTGCTTTTTAGCCCTGTAGGGCAGGCTGAGTAATAGGGCGACGATGATCTGGAACAAGCCATGCAGTTCTTAATACATAATTATGTCAAATCTAGAACAGCTTTATGGGGCTGACGGAGATTACCGTAATGGGAAGACGATATCCCGAGTTTAGTTCTTAACACCCCATGATCCTGGTGCCCTATGACGTTCACAAACGGTATGATGCCAGCGTCTTGATATACTATAGCAACCCAAGAATGTAGAGTTTCGTAAGAGGCAACTTGATAATTGGTATTAACTAGAGCTTAGAAGATGATAAAACTTCGAAGGCGCATTTTGGCTTAGTTGATTCTGTCTGACATGGCTCGGTTTTTTACTTAATGGCATCAAAGTTATGGATGGGTTTGAGAATAGCATTATGACGATTCATATAAAAACGGGTTGGTTGTTATCGTTGCTAAGAATTAGGTAGGTATAATACCTTACATCGAAAGAAGTGAAGCGAGGCATTTCTATTAGTGGATTAGTAAACGGTAAAGATTACTATGAGATAAGAATTTATTTACATGTGGAGTCTTGGTTCGGTCCCGACCGTTTCTATGTACATAAAGCACACAACTAAGAATGCACGCCGTTGGATTAGGAGTTCAGGTAGCCTTGTGTTGTCTGTAGATCTCTGGTATCTTAAATTTTTGGATTTCTTATTATATCTAATAATGGTTGCCAAAAACTTCACTTTTAGGTAATACACGCATGAAATCTATAAGGAACTATTAAGAAGAGTTTAATTAGTTTAAAGTTGCATTTTCGAATAGTTTGGGTATCTTTTCAATTATAGAAGTTTAGAAATACTATAACGTGTAAGTCATTTGCGGGTTATACATGTTGAGTAATCAGGTTATAGTATCGGCAAATAGTGCATGTGTCGTATTACATGTACGTCAAGTCCCGCCAATTAAGATCACCAGTACCGATCCTGTATGCAAGTCGATCAGCCGCCCATGTTACAATACAGGGTTCATTCCGCTTGCATGCTAAAATCGCGTTGAGAAAAATCAAACTACTAATTAAGCTTAACTATATGCAACTGACATCTTACACCCTTTGCCCCTCTATGGCGTAACGTTCGAGCTAGGGGCGTGAGAGTAGTGAAGGAGGAGCTACCACAAAGTGATCTAGGACTCCCAGCGGTATGGGTAATGGGTAAGCTGAGGACAAAAGGGACCCTTGATGCGTGGGAAGACAGGGCTTATAACCCCACATGATTCCCCACTCCCCACGATCGTTATTCCAGTATGATCAGAGCAGGTATAAAGCTTGATGAGAAGTGATAGAGAGTTATATGGAATAGCACTAGATACTAAAGGGTATATATGCCTCCCGATCTTACCTGTCTTAGGTTTGCCAACTAGGTCTCCGCCACATCCTTCGGATGGTAGTAAGTAGTGAGATGGAGTTGAAAACTTTACTTGAACTTCATGTTGTTCTATGGCTACAGAAGTACACCATATACCTAAGAGTTTCACTCCCATCTGTATACATATCGCCTCCCCGGCTCGCCCTAAGCTACCAGGTAGTCAAGTAGAAGACCTAACACCGAGATAGGCGTGGTACAGAAGCTGCTGCGCAACCCAAGTATCGCCTATTCCGGCTACGAATAGCGACCTAGTCCTTAACCTTAGCCAGCCACAGGTTAATTAAGATGCTCACCTCACCGCCATATGTTATCCACAACCAGTTACTGTTTTATAGCACGTCAAGATCGTTGCAGAAACTAGGGATTCGGGATGAATAATACAATTTGAATAATACAGGAATTATTCCTGTATTATTCAGTGTTTTATTTTTCGGCACGTATCTTTCGGAACGGAAATACTTATCGGGTACCCAGCCGTACTTGCCCCACCACCAAATTTCAATAGGAATTCTCAATTGTATTAAGTATTTACATGTATCCAGCCTTCCAAAAATACTGGCCCGGGAGTCGCCTCCGAAAGTCCCCCGTCCTTACATACCTCATAACATTCGATCAAAATAACTTCAATTCCTCGACTTTTTTTTTTCAAGAAATCACCCAAGTCCCGCCATGTTTTAAGCGGGTCATATGTTATTCCGGTTCCGAGTATAATTCCGAATAATACAGTGTTTTACAGGGGTACGGTATTATTCAGTGTTTTATTATAAAACACGTGTTTTAGAAACCCTAGCAGAAACTTGCTTTGGACCAAACATATATCAAGTGTGGTGTTTGAGGCGCTGCCAGTAAGATCCGCGGGAGTGGCTCCGCCCAATCCCTTGGTGGAACTGCAAAACTATGACAATATCTATAAGGCCAATAAGATGTCTATCTTTAAGCTCCATGTACCTATAAATCGGGAGGCGTCTGTAGTTTCTACCGATATATTAGAATCTGTCTCAGCCAATTGTCGAGAAACAAAATTGGGACAATTGCCTCTCTCTTCCAAGATCCAACACTAGTGGATGGCTCTGGAAAAGGAAAGCCACGAGTGCGGAGGCATAACCCTTGCTCATGAAAAATTTCTCTACCACACAGCGTAGAGAAGCAAAATCCCATCATCACAGCACTATGCCGCAATGAATCGAGTTGTAAGAAAGCAAGGTATGTCTACATAATGGTCGAGACCTGTAAAGCGGGACGTTGGGGCACATGTCAACTTGTTGAATTTTCTGCTTCCTATATCTAGTATTTATTTTCGACAGTTAGACTCAAGTCTACTACCAATACATGGCGCCGATAGCATCATAGTAGGTAGTGAGATATGTGCCAGTTTAGCGATACCTTCAAGGTTTCATGGCGCCCTCCATCGTGCGCCTGTCTCAACTTATGCGGGTATACATCCACTCACAGAGTGACAACCAATTTAGTGGCCGAGACACCCTTCTTGATCAGGTCAACAGCCTCCTGGATCTTCTCAACACCCTTGCCGACGATCTTTGGCTCGGGCGCTGGTACATAAGTACCTTCCTTCAGCGCCGCAGGTAAGAAGTCGTTGTAAATCGCCTTTCCAACAAAATTGCCACTAAGGGAGGTGCCAAAGATGGCGTACATGGTAACGCCCGCCGGCGGCTCGGGCCAACCCCGCTTGGTAGAAGCCACAGCCTTCACGCCTTCGGATTTGGCGATGACCTGTTGAAGAATCCCTTGAGGTGGACCTCCAATGCAGTCGAGAGCGCCGGCGGTCGTCTTGCCCTTGAGGGCGTTAATTAAGTCATCCTGTATGGTGGGGCTGGAGTAGTCGAAGACTTGGCTGGCGCCTAGCTTCTTCACGTAGTCGAAGTTCTTAGGGGAGGCGGTAGTGATGACTTCGTAGCCGGAGTTGACAGCGAGTTGGATGGCATTGCTTCCAACTGCGGAGGAACCACCCCAGACGATCAACGTCTTACCCGTTGGCTTTTGCGGGGGGACGGTAGGGAGCTGAAGCTTTAGGTGGGTCTCCTGGTAGAGAGCGCAGGAGGCAGTAGATAGAGCCAGAGGTAGCACTGCAGCCTTCTCAAAGGGGATGTTATCGGGGAGTAAGGTTGTTACGTTAGTCTGCAGAATTGTGTACTCTTGGAAGCCACCATCTTGTCTACGCTTGCTGGCCATGCCAAGAGCGTGGCCAACAACACGGTCGCCGACTTTGAAGGCAGTGACACCAGAGCCAACAGCAGCAATAACACCGGCAACATCCTGGCCTAGCACGGCAGGGTAGTCGAGAGGCCACCACCCGGCGGCTTGGAGGGAGCCATCGACGGGATTGATAGCGACTGCATGGTTCTTCACAAGAACTTCATTAGCCTCGGGGGTCCAAACGGGAGCAGACTCGACCACGAAAGGGTGAGCTTTCGCCTCTTTAATCCAGGCAGCGTTGTTAGTGGCCATCTTGCTTCTCGTATGCGTAAAACCTCTGGACTGTTGATAATATTTCGTAGAGCCGGTAGATCGGCGAGGCGATGATGCAGTAGTGGCGGCGAAGTGGTTATCGGAGATGATAGAGGATACTGAGAGAAATCTAGAATTTGTTTGACGGGTGGCGCTGAGCCTTAAGAATGTTTGCGGGAGCTGCTTCCTTGATATACTAAAGGCCATGGGTGATGTCACTACTTTATGATTTATGTGACATGTAGTGTAGATATATTGCCTTACTTCCTTTCATATGATAGATATGATAGATGCGTTGGTGTCTAAACGTATGTACGGAAAACCGCTGAATAACATAGCACTCACTATACGCATACCTCCGCAACCGAGACGAGATGGCAGAGAAACCCGCCGAGTTGAGATTAGCATATTAATGGAGATCTTACGGCTCGTAGTTAGAGTTCGGAGTATAGTAACACCAAGGTTATGCCTCTTGGGTACTTACAATAAGCCATTATCAGATCGAAATGGGTTATAGGTAGTGTGATTAAAAAACTATGGAACTATGGTAGGTCGTAACTAGGTATAAGCAAATCGCAACTCGTGCCACTTGGAGAATCTTACAAGACGGAAGTAGGTAACATGCATTAAGATGCATGAATCTACTACAGGGTCCCTGTTTGTTATATCCGAGCCGGCGGGTTTACCGGGGTCGACTCGGATCTCGGAGATCCGCAGATCGCGGAATAAAGAATCTGTCAGGAACTAATCCGTACTTTGGGTAACCTGCTATCCGCTAACGGATCTCTAAATCTGATATGGCATTTCTATGAGATTCCTACTATGTAGGTACTCGCACATTAATGTCTCACAAGTAATTCCTTAATCTTAAAAATAGATAGACGACGTAGTGTCTCGTAACCGTGTAAGTCGTAAACACGGAATTACGGAATAAAGTTCCTAGCGACAGTTACCCGTTTAGGGAATTAACTAAACTGGACCCTGACGAGAAGATCTTACCTAATCCATTGAACTATTACTGTGTGTGATGTATTAGTTGAATGAATCAGCCTATCAGCCTATCAAGAAACAATATGTTATGTTTGCTCTGTCGTTTCTCGATATCCGAGCTACGGCTCGGAGTTCCTAATCATCTAGATCACATCCAAAGTACAATCAGAGATACTTCTAAAGCGACCTGTTTGCTATGATAGAAAAAAAGGAAATAAAATTTTCTTCAAGTAGGTAGGTACCCAGAGTTAAAATTCTTTCTAAAAAAAATCGTGTTAGCTGCTACCGTTGCTATGGGGAGAAACAACATATTATGTTGCGCCACAGCTCCCTGAGTCATTATAAACAGCGAGTTGAATTCCAATAAGAACTCCCCAAGTAGTCTACTCGTAGGAAAACTTCAGGAAGATATCTGGTACGCGCCAGTGTCTTCAGATCCTTTCAAGTACTATTAGATCTTCACTACTTGCTCACACTCCTTTATTACATTTTGGCACTTTGGTATAGACAGCTGGTTCAACCCGTGCGTGTTTTTGCCATCTATCACCCACGTCATCGGCCCCTTTCTTTCCTTCAAATAGACGAGGGAACAAATAAGACAAGAAATTAGACACACTCATTCGATTTTGTCTTAGTTCCGAAACTCCGAGGATAGAAGAAAAACGCAGTTCCCCAAGTCTTACACAAGAGTTTTTAGAGAACCGCACAACTGGTATTTCTACAATCCCGTCTCCCCCAATTCCTTGTTCCCATCATATATATCTACAATTCGGTCGACAATTGTACTACCATCGACAATATCACCATCGTCGCAATGGCTCTCAACCCAGAGCCTCACCATACGCGCATGAGCGACTCCGAAGATGTTACCGTCTCCAACACCAGTTTCGTAGCCGGAAGCGAAAAGGCCGATGCTGCCAACGATAGGACCCAAAGATCACCGGCCGAGATCGAGAATAAGGCGCGATCTGAACCCGCAGAGCCGCAAAGGGCGGGTCCTCCACCACCTCCCAATGGCGGCCTCCTTGCCTGGCTCCATGTGGTCGCCGGCTTCATGTTGTTTTTCAATACATGGGGTATCCTAAACGCCTTCGGCGTTTTCCAGACATATTACGAATCCGGTGCGCTCTTCCAACGATCATCTTCGGATATCTCGTGGATTGGCTCGATCCAATCCTTCATGGTTCTAGTCGGTGGTGTTTTCGCCGGCCCCATCTACGATAGGGGCTATCTACGACATCTGCTGATAGTTGGAAGCTTTGGCATCGTGTTTGGTCACATGATGTTAAGCTTGTGCAAGGAATATTGGCAAGTTATCCTCGCCCAAGGTCTCTGTGTCGGGTTGGGAGCAGGGATGCTGTTTGTACCTTGCGTATCTCTCATCCCTACCTACTTCACCACCAAACTCGGCCTTGCTCTAGGTCTAGCATCAGCAGGCTCCTCCGTCGGCGGCATCATATACCCTGTCGTCCTGTATCAGCTCATTGACAAGATTGGATATGCCTGGTCGGTCCGTGTTATGGGCTTTATTGCTCTAGGAACTCTACTCATCCCCATCTCTATTATGAGGATGCGATTCAAGTCCCCGGCGCCTAGATCTGTAATTGACTGGACTGCTTTCCGCGATATCCCCTATATGGCCTTCACAATCACCACTTTTGTAGGCTTCATGGGTCTTAGTATCCTTATCTTCTATATTTCGTACTACCCCCAGGAACGAGGTCTCACCGACGAAGCTCTCTCTTTTTACATGGTTCCTATCTTCAACGCCGCATCCTGCTTCGGCCGAGTCGTTCCCAACGCCGTTTCGGACAAGATCGGTCCATTTAACGTTATTGCGCCATGTTCACTCATCACTGGTATCCTGATGCTTTGTTTCATGGCTGCGAATTCTAAAGGCGCAATAATTACCATCGCAATCCTCGCAGGGCTCTTCAGCGGCGTTTTCATTGCCATGCCGCCTGTCTGCTTCTTCCCCTTGACCCAAGACAAGTCGAAATTGGGAACGAGAATAGGTATGGGTTTCGGTATCATTGCTTTGGGTCTTCTGGTGGGTAGTCCAGTAGCCGGAGCTATCCTCGGCAATACGAAGCCTTTACAATGGGCCGGTCTATGGGGATTCGGCGGTGCCGCGGCGGCTTTGTCAGGCTTTATGTATGCAGCTCTGAGAGTCTACCGCTCCGGTTGGGCGCTTAACGTTAAGGCGTGATGGCCACTTCACAGCACATTCTGAAGACATCCCCTCATACTATGCAAGGGACTTTGCTGAACCCCTCGCCATACCACGACACTTACAATATACCACCACATAGAGGAAAACCGGTTGGGAAATTCTAGGGATGTACAGGTTTGGAGTTTGCGGGACGGTATCGTGAATATTAAGGGTCATATCTCATTCATATATCCAGAGAGGCTGATGATATCAAATTGGCAATGGCCACGAGGTAGACGAATTTTCGTTTCTTTAATTATACCTTTAATCATAATAAACTTTAAAAAGATCTCGTTGGTAGTCAAATCTGAAGAATACAGCCTCACAAGTTTTATTATCTCCGCTCTCAACAAATATAAGTTTCATACAAATCACTCTTGACTCAGCGAAAGGAAGAATTCTAAGATCTAATTATCGTGGAGGGCACTGCGTGGTTTCAATCCTGGCTTAATGATCAGGGTTGCAACAGGGCGACAAGACTCTCATATGGGAGGACAAGACTCTGGCCAATTCATATATCACTCATTCATTCGCAACTTAGAAAGAAGCCTTCATGCAGATTTCCATACTATATCCTAGCTAATATACCAGAATTCTCTTCGTTCCATCCTCCAGAACCTAGCACAACATGAAGTCTCATAAACAACTTTATCTAAGCCCGGCGACCTAAGCCTAACCCAGTTGACCGTTCGCCCAGCACAACACCGCTTCATAGAGGCTTTCGCACGACGCACTTAATCGGGATAATGGTGGTTTTCTCGAGGTCCCAGACGCCGATTTTGGCGTAGACGTCGTCGTTGATCAAGGCGCGGACTTCCTCCTCCGAGTTCGCACGAACAACCACAGAGCTACCGTTGATAGCAAGGTCCTCGCCGGCGGTCTTGGGGTGTGCGGAAAGAGTCGGTCCGGACATGACGACGGTGCCTGACTCGACAAGGCTCTTCAGGTGGGCTATATGCGCCTGTACGTTGTTCGAGCGCGTCTGCAACATGCCCGGCTTGTCGTGCAGTAGGACCAGGAATTCGTTGAGTTCCGACATGGTTATGGCTGAAGTTACTCCTGACTACAGTGTTATAGTGCGGAGATACACGGTAGGTAGAAGGCGTTTTGGAGGATCGTGGCTGATTAATATTAGTTAAACTATACCCATAAACAGGTAAGTTATAAGAGCTTTTGGGGTGAATTCCAGCCCGCTGACTTACTTGACAGCTTATCGAGGTTGATCTAGGTAGGTCTGTTTCGGAAGCAAACGAAGTTCGACGGATCGTTGTACGGATATGGGAATAACAGTCCTATATTTCTAAAGCATGATACCATTACACCGCCTTTACAGCCATTTTTGACTGTCTGTCACTTAGAATACTATGCTACTGCATCTCTGTATTGCTTTTGTCTTGGGATGTGGAGAAAGGCTTGCGCGTAGAAGGGCATCGCTCGAATCATGCTGTGAATTCTCAAAGTATCACAATATCAGGGATGGATACCTAATCCAAGCGGTCGATCACAACACTCGGCCATTGTAAAATCCTGATTCTACGAGCTACTTCGGATCTATTAAGCAGGTCGGTCTGAAGCCGCAGGGAAAGAAGCAATATAACGTAGCGCCCAACTACAACAATAAAGCGAGAAACGTCACACTGTCCTTATCTCGCTCCCTCTCTCTCTTGTAAAGATGCATCATTTTCATCCGTTGATTCCTGCAATCCTTCACCGGGGTGACCTTGCCACTTCTCGCATGATATACCCGCACGAAAATGTCAACACACTAATGCAAAAACAAGACGAGGCTTTGGATTCGTGTAAATCACCATCTACTTGACTCGGTGCGGAGTTTCTTGTGTTCAGCTAAGTGTTGCTACGCACCAACTTGTTTGGTCGAATTCTTGCGCTAGTTAACCATGCCGATCAGCTTGTCATCACGGAGAAACGAATTCCCTGTCAATAATTCCTGTCGGAAATACGCCACAGTATGCTAGTAAGACGCGTACGTACATACCAAACGAATCGGCTTGGAGTTTCTAGACTGCTAGGAAAGGTTGAAATACCATCCTACGGTGCCGTACCGTACCTCGGGGTACGCTTCTACCTGGGGTTTCTATTAGGTACAACGTGTTGAACTACCGTGCCTGCGTTAATGACATATTGATCGTAGAATCCTAGATCAGATAAGATCTAGTTGAGTCAGCAGCAGCTCGCTGTTTCGATAAGAATAAATATAGTTGTCTTTGGTGATCTTGATTCCGTAGTAGGAAACCAGGGGGGAATAATATTTATACACTAGGCGTTGATTATCTATGAATAACTACCTAATTATAACGACTCAGCAACACCTTAAGAATATAATACACACGTAGTCAAAACTAATAATACGATGGGCAGCGTCGAGAATATTCCAGAAACGGCACCCGATGCTATCCCTACCGTGGACATCAGTCCCTTCACAGACCCGAATGCATCCGAGGAGGCCAAGAGCGGTGTTGTCGATGCCATACGCCATGCTTGCACCAAGTACGGTTTCTTTTACCTCACCGGGCATGGTGTGAGTGAAGAAAAACGCAACAGCGTCCTCAAGTGTGCTAGGAGGTTCTTTGAACTCTCTCCGGAGGAGCGTATGGAGGTTTGGGTCGGCAAGTCGATGGGCAAATCATTCCGTGGCTATGAGCCCCCTGGAATTCAAACCCACCAAGAAGGCCTCCTACCCGATACCAAAGAGGTGAGCGCATGAACGACAATGCCAAATACAACGTCGAAATCATAAAGAGTTTAGAAAGAATGAAGAAAAAAGGCTTAGAACTGACATGAATCAGTCCTTCATGATCGGCCACGAGGTCCCTGCTGACCACCCAGACGCTGGCACTTTCTCAACCGGCCCCAACTTGTGGCCTAAGAACCTCAAAGATGAAGAGTTCCGAACGCCTGCCATGGAGTATCAAGCCACTATGCTTGCGCTCTCCAAAGTGCTCCTCAAGCTCCTTTCCCGCGGTCTTCCAAAGGCCTGGGGACATCCTCCCGACGTAATGGATGAGATAGCCGTCAACCCATCCATGCCCATGAGACTACTGCATTACGCTCCCCAAGAGGTCCTCGACGAGCGACAGTTTGGTGGTATGTTCTCATTCCCCTTTTCTTGTTTCTTCTGCCGCTCTATGCATGTCTAACTTGGAATACTAACTTGGAATAGTGGGTGACCACACCGACTTTGGCTGCGTCACCATTCTACTCCAGGAGATGGGCACGAAGGGCTTGGAGGTATGGTACCCGCCGACCGAGACGTGGATCGCGGTGCCGCCCAAGGAGAACTCGTACGTGATCAACATGGGCGATATGATGCAGAAGTGGACTTCGGGCTACTACCGCAGCGCGCGCCACCGTGTCATCACCTCCGGCACTAACGACAGGTATTCCGTCCCATGGTTCCTCAACGGCCAGCTTAAGCTCAAGTGCAAGGCCCTCGACGGCTCTGGCGTCGAGACTATTGTCGGAGAGCATATACGCCAACGCCTTATCGCTACCATGGGCAAGACCGGTAAAGCCCTAGAGTAGACTTGCTGCAGCTAAGACATGCGTGGAGACCCGAAAGAAGAGACGCAAGTGTCGGTGTATTCAACTAGTGTGATCTGTTCGATAGGAACGAGAGTCCGAGTTCGGGTTGATTTGACATTTCTTTTTTTATAACCGGGCCAATTTCTCTATAGGTTTATAGGACAACACCCTGGGCTTGATGACTTATCATTACGTACTTAGTGTCCATTAATGAATTATATGTACAATGCTATGAGTATTATTAGTTACAACCTACCATGAGGGTCATATTCTCGCCTTAGTAATAGAGTTCTAGACATAGTCGATCTGTGTAGAATAAGGGACTTTACGAGTTGACCCCTTATATAATGAAGAGAATGCATAATAAATGTTTATTTGGATGTAATCGGGAATGATTCGACCGATAGATGCCTCTTAAAGGTAACAGGTTAGAAACGCGTAGGCTCAGATACCTCGGTAGATATTTAACTGTTCGTGTTTAGCTCGATGTTGTTTGCACGTTTCGGCATCATCATCACTGTTAAGCGGGCATTAAGATTAGGACTCGTACGTAAAGCGTTCTTATTAATAATATGTCCGTTATTTTTAAAACGCATCTGATGGACTGCCGTGGTCCGCTCTTGGCCCGCAAGCTGTCGTCGAAGCCTTGTATTGCCAAACGACTACTTGCTGAGGGTTATGACCCCTGGGATCATAATTAATTACTTGCACCGCCTATGCATATGTTTAAGGCTTCGTTATTACTCAGGTCTCGAAAGTACTGGATGTATTGTCCAGCCGTATAATAGCAGTACATAAACTCGGGCTATCCTAAGGGTGCCTTGTAGTTTAATAAGGGGTAGGTCACTAATATGTAATAAAAATAAAAATAGCATAAAAACATGGTGCGGTGTAAACTTTAGGCTTTTGTGTTGCCCGGGGGGTAACCTCTAGTTCAAGTAGCTCTATAGGTTGGCGATGTTACTATGCTACGACTTCTTCAAGGCCACTTGCTTGACTCCAATTTCGAGCCTTACCTAGTAGGTTATCAGGGCTGCAATACGAGGCGACCTGGATGTCCTGAAAGTAGCATTGCGCGCAGATCGATGCAGCAAGGGTAGAATAAATGGCGAACGGTTCAGCGCCAATATACGCTGGAATTAGGAGAGAATATTCCACATATATGCTAGGGGGTTATATGCCTAACCCTGTGATCTTAAAATATCTCATTAACTCCTTGGCTAAGGCGTCAGGGGTAAACCAACGTGCCTATACCTAGAGATTTGGCCTAGGTATCATGCGGAATTAGGTAACGTCGCAATGGTGCGTTGCCTGCTGGATCTATGGTACCCCTTTACAGATGACCACAAGCTGAGATGCCGGCAGTTCCAAGGCGTCGGATACCCACGACCCGGGTCTTCACCTGGGCATAAGAGGGTATAATTCTACTACTTCTCAAGTGCAGACCATCTTTCTATGGAACCCCAGAACCAATGGCAGACAACCACATGTATAATATCGTGCAACTATAGATTCCAAGTCGCCGAACCTTGCTCTTGTCCAAAGTGTACGTTGGTTATTCGGATGAACCGGGTTGAAGCCGAAGTTAAAGCCCCTATATACCTACCCTCAGTGCCGATCCGGTATACCAATCAATGGTCAAGAGAGGACGCTTTGACGATGCTAGTACCGGCGATACTATTCACTATTCTACCGACGATGGAGTGACATTCTCTGGAATCTACCCACCACCAAGTTCCACAATTAATCTTATACCAGTCTTATATTAACTACGGAATAGAGATGCGGCTCTTTGGGTGCATCCAGGGGGGGCCGTCAATATGATAGACCGGTACTTGACCTCGGGGCTGAGTGCGCTGAACTAATTATCAAAGGCCCATCGAGCGTTTCACCGCCGGGTTCACCCTCGTAGCTACTGCGCAGAAGCATGACGCTAGCAGCGATCATCTTATTAGAAGAGCCGTGACGAGGCTAGAGGGTCTACTTAGTTCGCGGCACTTTACCGTAATCTGCATAAACTAAGATCGCTAATCCGTCCGGTAATGTCGTGTCGTCTTGTTTTCACGGGAATTTTACACATGTAGTTAGAGGCTCCATCGAAGAGATCTCGACGACCCCACTCCTTGCCCCCTATTTCTCTTGGTCTTTCATGCGCGAAGATGCCGAATATCTTCTTTATATATGCTGAAGTTCCGTACCTTAGATGTTGGAATATCTACCTATCCTTTCAACCGTACTCTTCTATCTATTCCAAATATCTTAATCCGGTTACTTTAATCCATTCAGAACAAGATGCTTTTGAACATTTCCACCAGTGCGCTTTTGAAGCATCTGGTTCTATACCAGTTCAAAGCTAACGTCAGCACCGAGATCGTGAATGAGGTCCGTCCCCATTAGCGCTTGCGATTCCCAATGCGCCAAAGTCGCTTACACTAACTTTAATATGTATAGACGAATAACCGGATGCTTAGTCTAAAGGAAGGCTGCCTCACTCCCACCAAGCAACCGTACATCAGGGATCTCACCGGCGGCAAAGAAATGTCTATTGAGGGAGCATCGGTAAGCACCGAACGACTAGGGTCGCAGATAGACGGAGTTGCAAGATCGCTAACCAAGTCTTCAGCAAAATCTCCAATACGCTTTCACCGTGGAATTCGCATCGGTTGAGGACCGGAACTATTACGTCAACAATGATTCGTATCATCATGCTTTCAAGGCTTACGCAATCCCGTATCTAGAGAACTTCGTCATTGTGGACTATGTCGAGGGAGCCTTCTAAAATTCTCATACCTGGGTTAGCACGGGGTTATCATCTGAGATCTTAGCAAGCTAGTATTATACCAATAATACCTATAATCCCTTACACAAGGATGTAGGACCCCGATAATGTACATTTATAATCTATAAAACAGCAACGTCCCGTCGTTCTCTAGTCTTAATATGCTCTAGCTGCCGAGAATGTGCTCTTTACTCAGTTGCGATCGCCGCTTGGTATCAGGTTAACAAACCGCCATAAGATATAGACACTCACTCGTGAAATATATACTAACAGTCCTCATTACCCGTCTCCACCTACTCCTACTCCTACCGCCTATCCATCTCCTTCATGCATCTCTTCACAATCCCAACTGCTTCATCCACTACCTCATCGCCGCGACGCCACGTATACAACGCCACGCCATGCCGTTCCAGCGTCTCCTGCGCACGTTGTAACCGCCGGCGCCACAAGTCCAGTTTCTTGTTCACGACAGCCGTCTGTCCGTTTAGACTCCCGTTGTTATACGTAGCGCTACTATTAATACCGGGTGGCAGACCCTCAAACTCAACCTCCGAGTCCCCTGTTGTCCGGCGGCGGACTAGGGCACTGTCGCTAGCGCGAGCTGCTGCGACACGCGGGCTCGATTTTGTCGTGGTGGTGCTGGACGGTGTGCCTCGCCTTGGGGGCGGAGGAGGGGGCGGGATCTTAGATGATGAGTTGAGTGGAGGAACATTTGGATTCTCGGATATCTGGCCGTTACTCTTAGTTTTCTTCAATGTTCTTAGTCCGTCTCTCCCGGCTTGGTCAGACGGTACCTGCATCTGCGCTAGCGGGCTAGGTGTTAACGCTCTATTATTCGCCTGGTTTGTCCTACGTGGCTCCGGCGGCTGCGGGGGCCCCGAGCCCGAGGGCTTTTTAGTAGACCCGCCGTCATCGGTAGTTAGTACCGGCGCAGCCGGTGTGCTCTGTAGGGACTTTGGTTTCGCAGGTCTCGGCGGCGGTGGTTTTCGTGCTAGTAGATCTGCCGGTCGCGCGGGTTTTCCTACTGTCTGGGGCTCCGATTCGACTCGGCGGAGCCGTTCTGGCTCCGGCTCCGGCTCCGGCTCCTCCGACAGGTCGATTAGGTCGCCCAAGACGGGTCCGTTAGCCGGGTTTGGTGTGGTCGTTCCTCGAGGAGGGAGTGGGGGTCTTCCGACTGGATTACCCTCTTTACTATCACTGCTACTACCTCTAGAAGATACCTGATTGAGCCGGATGCTTGAGTTGGTTCGGGGAATGCGCCCGCCGTTACTACGTGCGTCGAACCCGGAATCGAAATAACCTGTTTGTTCGGGCGTCGTGACATCTCGAATAAAAATAGCTAGTATCCTCCCGGGATTAGAAACTGCCAACTCCGTATATACCTCGAGGTCCGCTTCGCCGCTGTCACCGACTAGGAGGAATTTCCTTTCCGGAAAATCTCTCATGATCTTCTCCAGCGTGCCTTTTTTCCGCTCGGCCACGGGCTCAAATATCCCCTGAAGCATACCCGAATACTGCTTCAAATGTAGTGAGCCCGGCGGCAAGCCGGCTAACTTAAAGTACGTAGCTAGCACCGGATACAGCTGCCATGGGCTATTGGAGCAGTAATGTATGCGCACGCCGAGGTCATGCAAAGCGTTGTACCATGCTTGGACACCGTCCACGGTTAGGTCACCTAGCTCACGAATGAAGGTGTTTCGAAATATTTCCTTGGCACCGAGGGCGATGTTTGAGCGTTTGATGGTGTCGTCGATATCGCTTATTAAGCTGACTCCTTTCGGCTCGATGAGTTGCACTGGTTCTGTGTAGGATATGTCCTCGTTCGCGAGCACGCGTACATGGGTGGGCACGAAGTCGAGCGCCGCCCTCATCACAAAGTGCCCTGAATCATTGGTCTTAACGGTGCGCGATTGGGCTTGCTTCTCGTTATAGAAGAATAAGGTGATGGGAATCTCAACCAACGGCGTGGTCATAAAAGGCGCAATGCGAGCCATTAGATTTGCATTTGCAACTGCCAGCTCCGTTTCATTGAGTTCAGGAGTTCCCGCCGTATTAGTGCGCCCTCGGAGGACAGGTGATGATGGTGCAGAGGGTGGTGATCTACTGCTATCTTGCGAGTACTGGTCCAGGCGTCGTCTGCTTCCTTCTTCTTCAGAATCTTCATCCCTCGGTCGTTCACTATAGCCACCTTTTTGCGCAGCTTCCTCCTCAAACCTACCCTTGCGCTCGATTTCTTTGGCTTCTTGTGCGATCCTCTCTCGCTCACGTTCCTCCTCGTGTTGTTCGTGTATTCTCGTTAAAGAGGGTTCCATAGTAGCAGTCGGGTCGGCCTGTTGAGTCCTTGGAGCGGGAATACCGCTTAACTGTCTCGCCAGACCAATCAATATTCGGTTGCGACGAGTCATTGGGCTCCTATGAGGGATGTATATCCAGCCTCGGACATCTACGTCTACAATAGCCTTCTCGTCTTCGTGTCTTGACCACTCATTCCTCCAGTAATCCTGTTCGTTCATACCCATAGTTGAAGTATGGGGCGGTCCTCCCGGATCTTCGAATTGCCTAGGTTGATCCTTCACGTGCCTCTTTGCATAGGACGGAAATAAGACCATCTGTTCGTTTCCCTTTGTCACAATAGCAACGTCAGGGAAGGAATCCGGTATTGTGACCCTGGTCGCTTCTGAAGTATCGCTATCACTCGATCTTGTCTGGTAGTAAGACTCTTTAATCTCATTTACCGCCGTTGCGCCAGCCCTATACATGCTGCCCGCCATAGCTGCAAGCTTCCTCCTTCTTGAGCCTCTCTCGCGTCCACCATCGGTGTCGAGGTTCCCACTCCCCAATCCATATTCTGGCATAGTTGTCATCTTTCCTGATGTAGATCTTGATCCATCTCTTGGGCCCTTGGTACTGGGAGCTGGCAAACCGAGCAACAGCCGTCGCGCGTGGTCGACGAGACGCGACTGCTCACGGCGACGGCGCTGACGGTCGAGGATAAAGCGGTAGATGCGACTTTGGAGGCGGTGTTTGTAGTGAGGAACGGTATCAAGGTGAAAACCGATGAGTCGCTCGCGGTAGCGTTCGCGTAGGTTATGTGGGAAAAGGTACTGGAGGAGGGTCTGTCGATGATGGGGATGAGGACGTGAAGGTAGGAATCGACGTGATGGAGCCACTTTGGGGGATTCCGAGGAGCAAGTACGAAGTAGTTGAATTTGTTAGAGCTTCACCTGAAATAATATATACCTTAGGTGGTAGGTAGGTATGCCAGACTTGTATCATTCGTAATTCGCAATGTGACAAGCCTTCAACCAGGTGGCTTATGTCTTCGAACGACTGAGAGGGCTGAATTTGACAAAGGCCAATTAAATTAACACATGGTTTACGAGATTAAAAGAGGTTGGCCTGGGAGGAAGCTTTTGCGATAGGGCAGTAGGGATGACGGATAATATTTTCATCATCTGACTTTTGTCAAAGTTGGAAAAGCGGAAAAGTTGGAGCTTGTGTCGTCGAGTCTTACATTTTACATCTCACATCTCACGAGCAAACGGGGCAAATGCAGTTTTTGGTGGGGGCCGCGCACTGGTGACATCAGTTGTAAATCCTAACCGATCACTAACCTATCCCTGTCTGTACCTTTCTACTAATGTACATAGGTATGTACGAGGTAACTACATAGGTACACATAAATCATGCGTATAAATCAAAAATACTGTATATCATCAAAACTAGGTACCTAGGTACATATGTCGGGTATAATAACGTGGGAACCGAACATCGCGAATAATCTCATGTTAGGTAGGTAGTATTGGTATCGCTTAACCTATCTCTTTTGTGGCTTACCAGACGTCTTGGCCGCCTTCGTCTTCTTCTTATCGTTCTTGAAATTAAGAACGGCACCTTTACCTGCCCTCTCGGCAGAGCCCTTCTTCCACATCCCCTCCTTCCTTGTTGACCTTGCGTCTAGCTTCTTCTTATCCTTATTGCTTAACTTGCCGTTCCCCTTTTTCTTTAGCGACTCGATCAACCCATTCAGTTCAGCTCTCCCAGCCTCCTTAGCCTTATTCTTCTCGTGTTGCGTTTCGAACCACGTTCGCTTCGGTCGCGACTTGATTTCGTCCTCGTGAATAACCATATTCTCCCCCTTCTTAATTTGCATCTCTGCTTGTGCCAGTTGCTTCTCTTCCTTCTCTTCCTGGGCAATTGCCTCAATCTCATCGGCCATCTCGTCGATCTTATCTTGCCATTTATCGGCATCGGCGGGATCAATGATCAAACTACTAATCTTGGCCCCCTGGGCCTTCCCAGACCTAACCGCTGCTTTTACGACTTTCCGGTCAGGTTCTGCGGCTAGTGTGATAGCAACGCCCGAACGCCCAGCTCGTGCAGTACGTCCCACACGATGTACGTAGATCTCGAGGGTTTGTGGGCCTTCGTAGTTGATAACGGTATCAACTCCTTTAATATCAAGACCTCGAGAAGCTAGATCGGTGGCAAGCAGAAAAGACACTTTGCCATCCCGGAATGATTCGACACTAGAAATACGCTACGAGCTGTTAGAAGGTGAAAGAGAGAAAAAAAACTTGATTGTATCAAGGGGATTGCTCACCTGAGCTTGATTCATGCTTCCGTGTAGTTCGGCGCAGGACAGGTTAAATAAGGCAAAAACGATCCGAGCACGATGCGCCTCCTTCTTCTGCCTGAAGAATATGATAACACGCTCGGTATGCATCGTTTTACAGATATGGATGAGATAACCCATTCTCTTGTCTTCCCGACCTGGCCTTAACCTAACAAATTTTTGTTCTAGCTTGTCGTTCGTTTTCCTTTGGGAATCTACCATTACTCGTACTGGTTTGTTTAGACCGGCGCGAATGAGTCGGTCAACGGAAGAAGTCATGGTAGCGGAGAAAAGCATCGTTTGCCGTGACTTAGGTAGAGTTGTAAGGATCTCGTTCAGTTCATCGGCAAACCCATCCTCGAGCATTCGGTCGGCCTCATCTAGAACCAGAATTTCAACCGTATCTGTCGAAAAGCTAGCCGAGTTACGCATATGATCGATAAATCTGCCCGGAGTGGCAACAATAACGTCGGGTCTTAGACGTAGTTCTGCTTCCTGAACTTTCAAACTCAATCCACCGACTGCCAGACAGAACTTAATATCTGTATGACTGGCGAGCTTGGTTGCAACTGCGTGGCACTGTATGGCGAGTTCTCGGGTAGGGGTTAAGATGACCACGCGGCTCGTGGGGATTTTATTTGGTCGGTACAGCAGCCTTTCTAAGATGGGAACAACGAAAGCAGCAGTTTTTCCAGAGCCTGTAACTGCACCGCCAACCAGATCCTTTCCTTCTAGCGCGAGTGGTATTGTTTTCGCTTGGATTGGAGTGGGTTCGTTAAAGCCGACAGAATTAAGACCGCGCAAAATCGGTCGCGAAAGGGACATTGTTTGAAACGAAGACTTTCCATTGTGCTTCCCAGCAGGCTTCTTCTCTTCAGGTGCGAAGAAAGCTGCTCTCTTGGCCGCTTCTTCGGAATCTTCCTCGTCGTCCGTTTCGTCGGAGTCTTCTTCGTCATCGGGGTGATCGACGGGGGTTGCGACAGAATCATTATCCGAAGCATCTTCCTCGTCATTTCCATCCTGATCTGAATTGTCTTCTGCCCTATCATCGCCTGATTCTTCGTCTGAAGCAGCACCCATACCAAATCCATCTTCAGCTAAAACTTGGTCGTCCTCGTCGTCAAGTTCGATATCTTCGTCTTCGAGTTCGTTACTAGCACCATCTGCGACTTCTTTCTTCTCGTTATTTACTTCAGTGTTCCCCTGAGTACCCTTTCTTCTTCGCACGATCTCGTCTACGTCAACGAGTCTCTTCGTTACGCTTCCGTTCATGCCTTTTTTCGCACCATCAAAGCCCCAACCTTCGAAATCCTCCGTCCTGAAGTCTGTGGTGCCATCCTCTGCAAACTCAAAGTCGGAATCCATTGCTCCATCATCCTCATCTTTCTTGCCCCAGACACCATTTTCGTCATCGTCTAATTGAGTAGGTCGCTTATTTTTCTTGGCCTTTTTCTTTGGTGGGTTCGGCTCGGGTATGATCTCCTCTTCATTGAGAAGCTCCTCGTTATCAGAGAGGGTATATATGAAGTCGTCGGCCTTGCGCTTAGAAGTCATCTTGATAAGGGCTGCAGTGATTAAGTATCGTGAATATTTTGACCCTATCAAACAGTAGAATTATAAAGTCTAAGAATCTAAGAAAATCAAGTAAATTTATTTTTATGCCGGGCGGTGTAGATGATAGATCTCTGGTACCTAGGTACCTAATCTCTGGTCCCCCGCCATGCGGAATATTTCCGATAAGGAGCAGCACGTGTTTATCTGCTATCTGATAGGTAGAATAACAGTATATGTATTATATAGGTGATTAAGTACCTACCTAACCTTTCTAGTACTACATTATTACATAGGTACATGTAACCCATAGGTAACTACCCGATATCTCCCAACTACCTATAAAACATGTATAACAGCTGATGTATAATACCTCTATACATTTATCGATTGTCATCCCTTTCGCGGAATTTAGGTATTGGGAATTGTAACTCGCAGTTTCTCATGAAACGCCTTTGCGTCTTTAGTAGATATTCCATACGGGTGGGGTCAACGTTGGGGTCGTCTTCATCTTGATCATCATACAGAACCGGTATTAAAGGGCATAATGGCCTCGTCCACGATACATCCACATTAGTAAAATGACCCCTGGGTTTTTCTCCCGGTCTTCTAAAATTCCATATCATGGTCTCTGCTTCGAACAACAGCGTATCCACCACCCAATCAAGAGTGGGCGCCACATACCCCCATTCTCCCACTGTTGTAACGTCCTGGTCTCTTTGATTGTCCCATTCAAATCTACCCAAGAGTTCCATAAGACGGTCGGAATAGCCTGGACCTCCAGGGTGGGACGGCCCAGGAGTTGCGTTAGCATCACGGACGAGTCTGCTGTCCGGCCGGTGGCTCCAGGCGTGTTCGCCTTGCTCGTCTTTCCAATGTTCGCCAGGTACTAAACCCGCCCCGAGCGGGATATGGGTCATGCACATAAGGCGTAACACGCAACCAAGGTGGTGGACGTCCTCCCAATCATTTGTCGTCGCCTCGGTTGGATGGAGGCCCGGCTTTAACCAAGCATCCAAGTCATAAATTAAGGCCGAGTGCGAAAAGTTGCATAGTGCAATCCGGGGGAAAGCATTTGATTCAATGCCGACTCTAGGTACAGCACCCGGGTTCCTCGGCGCGTAGTTGAGGAGAATGTTACTTGGCGTTATAGCCCGGTGGTAAATCCTATCCCAGCCTTGGATTTTGCTGCGATTCAATGGAGTCCAGCCAAAATACAAATATGCTATTGCTTTACATAATTCGGCGGTAACATGCCAAATAAATATCTCCGGAATTGACCGATTAACGCTCTGGTATTTCTTAATTAGATATTCCAGGGATCCTCCATTCATATATCTAAATCATAGGGTGTAAGTTGTTAATTAATTGTTTTTAAAAACCGCTGCTAGTATTGTTGCCAGAAGCACTTACTCGTGGTAAAGCGTCCAATTCTCGCCGTCTGACTGAAAGTATATCAGTTTTTGGAAATACTCATCGTCACTAAGTAAACGTGTGTCGTCTTCAACGTTTCTGAATTCTGCGGAAGGCATGGTTGAAACTCTCACTTCAGGTGGTGAGGGATGTAAGAATTCACGTGTCCGCACTTGGTCCCTGGGTATGAGGTGTAAATGCTTCCTCAATACCTTCACATGATAAATCTCCCAGTCTACAAGTGACTGGACGAGGTAAAATCCAGGGTTAGCAATTTCCAGAACTAGAAAGCCGTCTTCTGCAATTGTCGCATCACCACCTTCTATCGCCGGGGCGTCATTGATAGTAAGGCATAGGCTGGAATATTTGTATGCTGTTCTCCACCTGCCGGCCATCGTTGAAATGGAGTTAGATTTTGTTGAATTTCTTCCGTAGTTTAGTTATGTATTCGGCTATAAATCATCATACCAAGGATAGGCTAGGTATTTCTCTATACCTGGGTGGCATACGAATTTAACAAATAAATAAAGTATGTAGGAAGTCCTTTGATATTATAACAGATAGTGTTTGGTGATTGAATTTGTCCGCTTATATACAATACCCAGGGTCCCAGATAGACATGATCACTCTGACTTACCGATTCCGGTTCATCATTCCTTTATTGAAATAGCACTTGGTTATCAAAGACGGTGAGGTAATTTAGTCTATTAGGCTAGGATATATTCCGAACTTACCTATTGCGTATTATATTGACTTCAACCATGTCCAAAAAGTATCCCTGCGATTCGAATTCAACATGTTCGGTTTAAAAGGCAATAATAGTTACCTACCTTAATATCTATAATTATCATCCCAATAGTACGCACAGTAAAATTTACGCTCATAATACATCACCAATAAAGGCCACTTTTCATCATTCCTTATTTCCTTTATCCCTTTGTTATGTGCTGTCAGCATTACCAGACAATTGCGATTTCTCGGGGTAAACGTATCATATTTACTTCCAACTCATTCACCTAGATGGCGTTTAGGTCTGGTCGGTTTCAAGGAAATAAGTACCTAAGTATATATATGCCGCTCACTGGGAAGGTTGTTATCCGACCAAGAGCTTATAACGCGTTGTCCTATGTATTTAACCTACCTTACAAACGCCTAACTAATTATGTAATACCGCGAGATCGCCAAGGCCTGGGGATATAGAGAAGACGTTGTGATTGGTTGGTTAGTAGCATCATCTCCGGTGCCTCAAACAACCGGGCATAGCCGGCTTGCGCCACGCACCGCGTGGCCCGTGTCGTTATGCCTATGGGTCAACGGGCGCGGTGTTGAACAGAAATCCGATAGTGTACCTAGTTCGGAGTATGAGTAAAAGTAGGGGTTTGATTGGTCAATCAAAATTCGAATCCTGGTCTGAAGCATCAAGATAAATGTTGGCACTCCCACCGTGGATCACGCAAAATTCTGGATGGAAAACAAAGACTTTTAAGCTCCTCACAATGGCAGGCTTCTTACAGCAAATCGGAAGCGAGCTCAAAGAATATCACATTTCGCATCTCATCCTCATTGCCGTCTCCCTCGGCATCGCATACCAGTGCCTCCACGCTCTATACAACCTCTATTTGCACCCACTTCGACATATCCCAGGCCCCCCACTATGGATCGCATTCCCAGTTACGAGAACGATTGGTATGGTTCGGGGAATAGCCGAGTTCCAGGTCCGCGAAGCTCATGAGAAGTATGGCGAGATTGTTCGAATCTCCCCTAACGCAATATCCTTCATCAATCCACAAGCCTGGAAAGACATCTACGGACATGGGCATGCAGAATTTCCGAAGCACTATCCCAAGGGGATCAACATGGACCCCAAAAAGATCATCTCGTCCAACGCATCAGACCATTTTCGCTTCCGACGAGCAATGCTGCCAGCCTTTTCTGATAAAGCCCTGGCGCAACAAGAGCCGCTCATTAAGGTCTATGTTGACCTATTGGTGCAGCGATTGCGAGAAGTGTCCGAGTCGGGCAATCCAACCGACATGGTCCAGTGGTATAATTTCACGACTTTTGATTTAATCGCGGACCTTGCGTATGGTACCCCTCTGCAGGGCCTAGCTGAAGGCAAGTCAAATGCATGGCTTGATAACATCTCCAAGTTGATGAGGTACATGCCTGTCCTAGTTTTGATCGGCGTGGCACCCGTCTTGGGTCTGATTCTCAAGCTTGTTGCTGGATCTCAGGTTCGCAACTCACAGGCTAACCACATGGCGCTTGTTACCAAGCTTGCCCATGACCGTATCTACCATAGGAAGCAGGCGGATAGAGGTGACTTCATGGATTATTTCATGCGCTCACGTGGTCAGCCACACGAGCTGAGTGATGCCGAACTGATCGCGAACAGTGATCTGTTAATGGTTGCTGGATCAGAGACAACCGCAACGCTCTTAAGCGGGGCGACTTACTGGCTGCTAAAGACACCACATGCGCTTAAGAAGGCGACAGAGGAAGTTCGTAACGCGTTCAAGTCAGAAGAAGAAATTACCTTCCATGAAGTCCGCACTAAACTACCCTACATGGCTGTCTGCTTGGAAGAGGCCTTGCGCCTTTTCCCTCCAGTTCCGATGTCTCTATCCCGTTCGGTACCAAGGGGATCGCCCATGCAGATTGTCGGCTTGACAATTCCCGAAAATGTAAGAAACTAATATATCCAATCTGCTATCGATGTCGTATATCTAACAAGCATTTTCCATAGACTGTCGTCGGAGTTCATCATATGTCAGCTTACCACTCAGAGCTTAACTTCCATAGAGCGCGGGAATACATCCCAGAACGGTGGCTTCCTGAGTCCGCCACGAACCCGGCGTCGCCATTTCATAACGACCGTCGCGATGCTCATCGCCCCTTTTCTTTCGGGCCTCGGGACTGTATAGGTCGCAACCTTGCGATACATGAGATGCATTTGATTATGGCTAAGGTCCTGTGGAATTTCGACTTAGCTTTGGATAATAAGTCTAGAGACTGGCATAATCAGAAGATCTTCGGACTTTGGGAGAAGCCGCCTCTCGAGGTTTTTGTTAGACAGCGGAAAAACTAGAGTATCATGTATATAAATGTGCCTATGAACTAAAGGTAGCACATATCTACTCGCTAGTTTTATATAACCTCAATATATCAGTTCTAGTAGTTATTCATCTAGCAGTATTATTTGCGATCACATGTAGGCGAAAGATGCATCTCGAACCCTTCGACTACCCTAGGTAATGTTCCCTTCAATCATACGTAAGAACCCTTGCCCCTATTCCGAAAACCAGATAACGTCTCGTAACCTCGTCACCAATTCATCACAGATGTGAGACAATTTCAGTAATAGTGTCGCACATAACTAGTATCTTGAATAGTTTTCCTGCTTAAGTATCGATACTCGAAGTAAGACGCAATGGCTGCCCAGAAGGTAAGTATACTAAACCGAAGTTTATGTTAGCATATGCAGACTCGATCCATCATGGCGGAACCTGAGCTTACAAGAGAGCGATTGCCAGCAACGCCATAATCCAGCTAACTGCGCATGATCCATCCACACAAACATTCGCGTTTGTGGATAGTAATAGACCCATCATGACGGCCCAAAATGGTATATCGACGCAGTTGAGTATGAGGTTGGTCTTTTTATTGGCCCATTTCTGGAGTTTCAAGTTATGTTCTGTAAGGACTTGGTAAATAATAAATACGATGGATTTGAGACCCTGAGCGGCGAATAGCGAGTTAGCTAGGTACCAAGTTCAACTTCTAGGGTAACTCACGATAGCAACTCCCATTATGTGTGCTCTTTGTGGGGGCGGATCTTTCATAGCGATAGAGGCAATGGATAGAATAATCACCAATATAATTAAACATAACTGTGTAATATGCACTCGAAACTTGAGACGAGTATCAAAGTACGTAGACAAGTCCATTGTCGATGAGTCTTAGTTTGCGTGATGGTTCTCTCGAGTGTCTGTGTTATTTACAATGTTAAAGGGTAGAGCCTATATATGACAATATTGAAAGAGGTTTAATTGGAAATTACTTTCTAGTTAAGAGGTAGTTACAATTGATTACTCATAGCAATAAGACGCGAAGTTATGCATTATCAGTCTTCCTATATATTCTTCAGTCTGGAGCTTGGGTGTCTACGTATTCACACATAGTTTTTAAGCCCAATTTGTCGTATGAGATTCGCACGTTTCGTATTTGGTAACTTGCTGCCTAAAGTTACAGATCCATACGCAAGAAAGCATGGTTTACTTGGAACTTCATAGCTGTTGTGGATTGAACTATCAGAAGGTCTTGAATACCAAAGTGTCTTCTGTCATGGCAATGGGGAATTTTTATAAGCTATCGCTGAAATCTTGTATAGGTAGGCCATCGCTATGTCTCGCTACCCATTAGTCAGACAATTCTTCACCATTTATTCGAAGGAGATTTCGACAAGATATTGTGGCTACCTACGGAGGCAGGCTGGAGCGATAGCGTTACCTACCACACATTTTCATTGTGATTATGTATCCATGGTTATCTCCTATTTCCCTGCATAATTGACGCTAACAATGCCAACCTCGTATAGGATAGACTCGGATTCGTACTTCGCTCGTACTTATCGAAAAACTAGCGGCTACGACCTCAACAATGGCTAGATCAGCACAGCCCCCCGGTAATTTGAGACATGCCCCAGTGTGGGGTATTTTACTAAACGACAAGCGAGTCGTACACGCTCTCGCTGTCCGTGTCCGAAAGAGTTCATATTGATATCGGTGTTAGGCGGTTCATTTGTCGTCTATCAATTCTAGAAGGTGTCATCGGGAGGTTCATATTGGTAGATGCCTAGGAGGTAGAGTGTAAGAGTGCCTTGAATTCGTTTAACTAAGATATAAAACCTCGAAAAATAAGAAAAACCAGAACTTGAATACGTATTGAGACTCTAGAACTAGAGGCTATGAGCGCTACTATATTTGACCATGTTTGTTACCAAGTCATTTCTCCTCTTTCTTCTGCGTATAATAATATCAGTTGTCTATTCAGAAGCAGATGTGCCCCCTCCCCCTGAGCCCGAACCTATTGATATCATTGAGTTGCCGCTTCCACCTGTATCTGACGGAACGAAGGGTTCATGTACCTCAGAGCTAGATCCTTTCGGGACAGGATGTATCCTACAGCATGGCGGGCTGGTTCAGTCAGGAAGCTTTTTACCTGACGGCAACCACGTTATTGCGCGTGTCAACTATACTGGTGCACCCGATTCGGGAAGCATATACACAGGCGACCAATTAATACTCATCAAATCCGACGGCACTACTTTCCCTAATGGCAGCCCGTTTAAGTGTATTACTTGTGGAATACCCCAAGATAACGCTGTTGGTCGAGCCAGCACTCTGGATTATCCTCAAGCATTCCGCGACGGAAAACGGATTTTAGCCGGTACTAATATCATTGATTGCGGCGAATTCGATCTTAGTAGCGATCAATGTATCCCCGAATCGACATTTATATATCCCATCCGTTGGAACACTGCCGTGGATGGATCAGGAGAGGGCGGGAGCATTCGCGAATTACGTATACATCCCGATAACATACACATCGGCTTCAATTCATTCGTTAGCACTGGGGGAAAATTGGGCCAATACGCCTACGTCGGCCGGCTTGAATTTAACCCATCGCCAACGACGGGCCTACCTATAGCACCCCGATACGACCTAGCGAATGTGAACGTCTTGGTTAGCGATGGTATCAGAAACCAGCCACTCCTCTTTGAAGGGAATCGGATACGTGTCAACCCTGAAGCTATCACCGTGGGCGAATTCAGAGGCTTCAGTGGAAGTGGTAGGGAGGCTACATACATCGGTAGTCCGAGAGAGTCATCAAACATCGATGTGTTTGCTGTTGACCTAACATCGGGCGCTGTCCGTAGGCTCACGAGTCATCCCGAGTACTGTGACCCCATTGATATCTCGGCGGATGATGAATGGATAGCAATTATGGACACTCGAGGCAGTAATAGGCAGATGTTCATGGCTGGCATGCGAAATATTCCCCCCATCACGGATTTGGTTTCTGTGACAGCAGCATCCTCAACCCGAAATAACGGCGAGCGACGTTTCTTCCAGCCGTATCTCCTTGATAGGTATGGCGACCGCGGGGATTATTACGGACAGCGTATCAATGGAGCGGGTGACGGGAGCCCAGGCAGCATTAACGACCCACAATGGAATGGGCTAGCCGATCCTAAGTTCTCTCTAGATACCACGCGGTTGGTGTATTGGGAAGCTCTTACTGTCGCGCCGGCATGCGGAGGTAATAACCCACTTCCTTGCCCTAATTCTACTGAACCGGGAGGTCGGACGGAACGAGTGATGGTGGCGCATTTCACTTCTCGCCAGCCAGTACCACTAGCACACGTTGAGCCACTGAATGACACTATTCCTTGGGCCACCCCTTACGAGCCGGGATATGTCCCTCCTCTCCCACTCATCGTTTCTAGCGGCGAGTATATAATGGACGGAGCGGTGGCTGGTTCGGCTCAGATCACCATCGTCGCAGACGCCAACCTTACAACTGTGGAGTCCGTCGCTGTAAAATACGACAACTTCTCTGACGATGGGCTTACCTTTCTCGACGGCACGGAGAACGTCACGACGCGGAATCCAACCATCACTCTGAACATAGTCGACTGGTACTCCGACCTAGTTCAGACTGGACAGACGAATGCTACTAAGGTGACTAGCCCTGACGGATTCCATTTGTCTATCGACGCGTTCACGAATATATTCGACGCCAACGGCACGCTGAGCACTACTGTCAATGGTACCTTGTACACACAGCCAGCAAATGGCACTTGAACTGAATATATTCGGTACTGGAATTTTAGATATCATTAGCAACACTTCTCATAATGGCACTTGTGTTAGGTATGTAGTTGGCAACTTTTATCTAATATTTACCGTACCGTATTATCCCCTTGACTGGCATTCAACAGCAACCCCCCGTTGTAATCGGTAGAGTCCGTAAAATTTAACGCAAGTCATTAGCATAAAAGGAAAAAAAACTTGCAATATGCCTTCGTAATAAATATAATTGGCCGACCTGCCAGTCAGGAGGATAGCGGAGTAGATTTGGAGTGGCTCGTAATTCGGTGTATCTACGAATACGAGACTGGGTAGTCCACCGTACTGGGGGATATTTGCAATCGCCCTCGTATTCGTACCTCTTGGCAAATTTCATCCGAAACTTCTGTATGCATAACTCGTAATGGCCGCGCGTTTCCGAGCATCTACTACGAACTTATAATTCCTTAGCCTTACTTTAAATTATGACGGATCAATGTCTACCGTGTTAATACCTAAAGTCTACCTAGTAAGCAGTAACTAAGTATGACCTCGCCAACTCAGAAGGCTACCCGAAGACCGCATGCGAAGACTCGGACAGGATGCCGAGTGTGCAAAGCCAGGAAAGTTAAGGTGGGCTCGCTTAACAACTCGCTCTTCGCTTACATCGTTCTAATCGTACTTACATAGTGTGACGAAACGCGACCGTCTTGTCGCAACTGTATAAGGTAAACACTGGGTTGTTGACTATGTCATTATTGGAAAATTGACGGCGTGCTGATTGGGCTCTACATAGACGCGGGATTAATTGCGATTTCAATACATCAACCTATCCTACGCCCTCTAGTCCTCATGTTACCAGCAGCAGTGCCGGACATACCCCTACTAGCCAGGTCACATCTCCCATAGATACTTCTATCCATCATCAACATGCGCCGACAGGCTGGTTTAGTGCTCTCGACCTTGAGCTTCTCCATCACTTTACTACTTCAACATGCTTCACGTTTTCCACTGAACCGATGGTTCGCAGCTTCTGGCGTGTGAACCTACCACAGATGGGATTCTCATACGAATATGTCCTTAGAGGCCTTCTCTCCGTTGCCGCATTGCACCTTTCCCGGTTCAAACCACAGCGAAGAGACGCCCTAATTGAACAAGCTATGGTTCACCACAACGCGTCGTCGTCTATGGTACTAACTATACTTAATGACTTCGATTCTTCCCATTCAGTGCCCATATTCTTCTTCAGCATGCTCACGACATGGTTCGCGTTTGCTAACCACAGGGAACCGGATAACCTCCTTTTTATATCAAATGGAGTCACGCCCGAATGGCTATTTCTTTTCAGAGGCATGCGTAGCGTAATGGAGCTCAATACTGACGCTATAAGCTCCATCGCAGCATTGGGCTTCATATTCGACTCGGGCAAACAGATGAACGAAGCTTGGGAAACTACTGCGCCCCCCGAACACGAAGGGCTCAAAGAACTGGAAAATACCCTCAAGCTATACGTCAAAGATGCACAAAAATTAGACGCACTTACCCACGGAATAGAAACACTAAAGCGGAGCTTCGTCTATTTCTCCAATTGTAACTTCACCGATGACCAGCGACTTAGAGCCGCATTTATGTGGCTATTCAAGGTTCGAGAGGAGTTTATAAAGTTACTAAAGGAACGGGATAATGAAGCGTTATGTGTGCTTTCTTTCTTCTGTGTCCTGCTTAAACGACTTGATTACGTCTGGTGTATAGAAGGCTCGGGTGTACATTTGATCGGCAGGATATACTCCGTGTTAGATGAGAGATATAGACTATGGATTCGATGGCCGATTGAGGAGATTGGTTGGGTCCCCTAATATGAACCATAAAACATTATAATGCTACTGGATAATTCCAAGAGGCAACTCTACTGCCCTCAACAGTAGGAACATGATAATACATCTAGATCCGTTAACCAGCTGAACCAACAGCGCCCTGGTAGGCGACCCCCCTAACACCAATTTTGCACCGAACATGAGCTTACTTATAGGAGCCAATGGGAGCGGCTGGAACATCATTATACGTGCCTTTTAAGGTTAGATTTGCAGGATATTAGGAAACCAATATAGTATGCGTATATATAAATACTTTGTATATTAGTTTTTAGATAGCTTTATACGCTGTTTACCCCTAAAGAGGTCTGCGAGGGCTGGTCCTTCCCCCTTGCCCTGGCGTTAAATATACCAACCAACCCAGATCCGTTACCATTAATTTTATTTCTTTGAATTAATAAAACCGCCTTCTTTCTTGGTCCTGATAATGCTAATTATTATTCTTTAATCTTTCTGTTTTACTCCTATCTTCGTAATATTTCCACCTTTCCGTTTCCTCCTCATTCAACTCCGCGAAGAAAATAGGTAGCAAACTTCTACCTACGCGAGGATAACTGTCTTCGACGGCCAACAAAGCATCCATGACTTTAGGCTTGGCAATCACCTCTACAAACTCGAGGGGCATACCAAATGCCTCCGGCGAGCAACTGGCACCGGCAACGTAAGTGCTTTGTAAGATACCTAAGCCACCTACCGCGAGAAGAAACCAGCCAGGTATTTTGTTGGATTCCCGAGGCAGCGATCAGGAGGAAGATCCAGAAGATAGCCAGAACGAGAACGGCCAGCCTTGCCGGCCGCGACTTTATTGTTCCCCAATCGGAAGCGGCAAGGTCCTCCAGGTCAAAGCCAACGCCGGCACCTTGAACTACTATGGCGTATTGGCTCTAGTTGATGCGAATGTCTTCTCGGTGCCCTCACGACAGGCCCTTTTTTCTTTAGCCCACTGAGGAAGGGCTTCCGAGATGAAGGCCAATATCATGCCTGCTCCGGTCACAAGCAGGATACTCAAATTGTCGTATAGACCACACGGTATGGCCGTCACTCCGAGCTGCAAGAGACATGTAACAAGCCCGGCAATATACGGAGAATCGTACCCGGGGTAATTCTTGGACGGCTTCCTTGCCTTGTAAATGGAGACACACAATCCAGCCTTAGGCGGCCGTGCTGGTTCCGGCTTCCCCCTTTCCCGAGCGCGCCGCTTCATACTCTCCCAGCCCAGCTCGATCATCTCTTTGACACTATTCTCAACCGTATTCCGGACAGCAACTCTATTTACCTCTACGGCACCACTGACGTCGGTATTCTGGGCCTGTGGCTGGCTATCCATCCACGTCTCAAAGTCCCGGACGATGCGCCCGATAATCCAACTATCATTGTCGCGCACAAATCCGTTTTGCGCGTTTACGACTTTGCACGAGTAGTCGGGAGCAGGCATCAGCCCATCCCCACTGATGGCGGATAGAACGGCGGTTACGGCGTATGCAACCCATCCTAAAGGAAGGAAGGAAAGGTGAGATCAGAATCAGCTGAATAAGTTCGTGTCTACAGCGGGTTGGCCGCGGGGGACATACCGAATGAGAACGCGACTGGGGTGATGCGCGACCCGACCAACTGCGCGAGCGCACGAGCAACGACGTCGCCGCCGAGAAGAAGGAGCACGGAGAAGACGCCGGTTGGATTCGTGAACTGACTCGTAAAGTCGCTTGAAGGAGTGCTCGGATCGAAAGCACGCCGTAAGACGGGAAGCAGAGGAGCCATATTGCTCAGCGATGTTGGGGTGGATTTGGTGGGGGATAAGATTCAAAAAGCCAGGAGCGCATAACTACCTCTAAGTAAAGTAAGATACCTAGGTAGGTAGCTAGCAAACTCACTCTTACGTCGTAAAGGGCTAAGAGGACTTTATACATTAAGGATTAGGCTTGCTCATGAGACCAGCAAGTGGCCTATGGCCCTCTTGTTGGTTGTGACGAAACAAAACAGAAACAGGGGCAAGCATCGATTGTGAGCTGTCATAATTTATTTGGCTCGCGTCAGCCGCAGTACTAGGACTTCCTACTGTGTAGATTTGCTTGTTTAACCGTGGTGTATATAGTTAAGTCTTCATGAACTGTTAGTCTTGTAATTATCTTGACTATAGGATGGGCTCAACTCTACCCCCCTTCCCACAGCTAATTGGTAGTTTTGTGCACATAGGAATAGTCTACCACAATGTGGTGTAAGTACCTAATACGGTATAAAATAAATCTATCGTCTTTTTCGTAGCACTTAAAGACGATTTGAGGTATCTCGAACAATTAAGCTTAAAGTTATAGTTATAGTGGTGGGGCCATCGAATTCGCAACGTGCGGCCCGCTCCGTGATGCACATGGAGTTTACCCCGTAATCTACATAAATACTCCGATGGTTGGGACCAGATCAAGGTTTCGATAGTGTCTTTCACTTAGGTACATATTCTATCTACTTGTGTTCAAAGTGAAGAAAATGTCGAGATCGTGATGGTGAGACTACTTCTAATCCTGACTTTCAACATATTAGTGTCTAAGGCTTAGTATGGATTTCAGCTCTTAGATCGTGATACAGCTTAGATATTTAAACATAAACAGTAGTAATCAAGCGATTGACTTGTATTATAATTAATTTCTATATCGATGGCTCGATGCCTATGTGTGTCTATGATCAGTCAATATATCATGATGTCGTGATGGTAATCCCTTTTCCAAACCCCGCTATATATTCCTCATAATCCGTCATTAAAATACCCAGGAAATTTAAGGAGCGCCTTATGCGACGGCAGTCATTTCGTAGGGTTTTAGTGGTAATGTTACCGGCTCGCACTGGACTGTACGAGCCGTGTAGATTTGACCGAGCGTCCAGTTAGGGTTGGTCCACGTCTCATCGGTGCAGGAGAGATCTAGATCGACGGTACCATAAGCATTGACGGTAGTACTATAAAACTTGTTAATTGATGATGATAGTTTACTTTTTTTTGATGGTAGTAACTTACGGGTATGTGGGATCGGTGTCGCTGCACGTCCAAGTTTGGTTGACGTTCAACTTGCCACTAGGGCGGCTGAAGTCGAAAGTAGTCTTTGTAGTGTGGCCCTCCGGAACAGTGCAGGTGTACGCAAATGTGCCGTAGAAGAAGTCGGAGAGCTGGTTGCTAGAGGCACTGCAAATAGCTTGGTACTCGAGAGCCGGGTTTGTTAGGTTGAAGTTTACATAACCCCACGAATTTTGATGGGCGGGTGTGCTGAAAATGTAAGACGCATGGTAGTCGAAGTTTTCAATCGTCCATTCGAAATCGCCAAAAGAGGCGTCTTGGCAACCTGGATTGCTGTCGCGGTTGTAAAGTTCCAATGGCGCCGCAGCTGCCAAAGGTAGGAGAGTGGTGATGGTTGAGATGAAGCCGCGCATTTTGATGTGATGTGATGTGATGTGATGTGTATTATTATATCAAGTATGGTATGGGATAGGATAGGGGTGTAGATTGGTGGTTGATGAATTATATATTATTGTTGATTGTATGTTATAATACTCTATCGGTTGATGATGTATATAAAATTCTCACCAAGATGGCGGAAGGCATTCGCACTTATATAACACTGGTAGTTTTCACTTATGGGCAGCTCCTCTCGTGAAGAGTGAGATCTGGTGATGGACTCTAAGAACGGATGCAAGAAGCTAGTGACGTCGACAGGCGATCTTGGACTGCATGGAGCCGCCAAGATCTCGTATTGCTAAGAGGGGCTGTGAGGCTAGCCAGCGAGTCATAGTGCTAACGGAGGCCGAAAAGGGCAAAGAGACGGCCTAAATGCCGATGTTACTGTCCGTTAATAGTGGATCTTAAAGAGCATAATTCAAAGAGTGCCCGACTCTTATTAGCTACCTAACTATTAGCCAGCCAGCCACAACGATTGTAGCCCCGGATGTGGATAGAGCTGACCGGCAGATGCGGCATATCTGATTTTTTTTATTCGTGTTGCGCCACAGTTATTTTTATCCTCGTCTATGCATATTATCGTACCGGTAGGGTGGAAGGGTCCGGCCGTCAAACTTTAAACACCTCAGCGGTCCTAATATCCTTAACCCAACCCCCCTCAGGTTCGCTCTTAGGTGAGCTGTACAACGGAGCTGACGCCTTTCAGAAGTCCGTGATTGGGCAGCTATCTACGCCAATTATTGAGGCTGCGCAAATGATGGAGAGAATACGACGGTAACGTTACTGATCAGCTGCAGGTACTATGCCTTAGGAAATTTCATTCAATGAATTTTGCCTTTTTCAAAGAACATTTGATCGAGTCCACGTGGAATCTAGTAGAGTCTGTCCGAATCATGTCTCGGTCTATCCGTTCATATTGAAATACGCGAATTCTTTGTTGAACCGACATCTACACCGCATACGATAGCGACCTTGCTAAGAAATACTATTTGTTTTTGTGCCCACTTCAGCCTTAATACTATAACGAGTCCTGGCTGTTATCGTATCAGCATGATATCATATCTTGTTAAAAAAATGCTATTGCTCGAAAACTCGGTACCATCGGCGGTGAGCGAAAATCAACGCAACACAGCATTAGGTTAGGTACCTGATACGGACTTCATTCATTAAGGCGCCTTTTTTTTTTTTTTTTTTTTTTTTTTTGAGTGGGCTGATAAGCGACTTAATTTACTATTCAACTGTGGAATCTCTAAGCTCTTGAACATGTTCATGATTTACGTGGATATCCGTTACGTCATTGCTTTTGGGTTGAAATAATAGAGTACCTAACCAAGAGTTTTACATAACTCTTCTCTTTATTTCTATGTATCCGAGGCCGAGAAGAACGCATAACTTTTTCTCTTAGTGTATATTTGATGTGGCTATACGCTCAACCACATTATTTGTAGATCTCTAAGAGGTCATAACTAGTTAAGTTCCCCAAAGGCCAACCAGTTCCCCTTATTACAAATCTGTGATTACTCTTATACCGGCTTAAACATGCCGCGCCGTGTACGACATAATTAAGATAAGGTCGCCAAGTACAACGGCTATTCAGAAGCTTAACCCTAATCATATTTTGACTTATCAACATAAGAATCGAAAATCGTCCCCGCGACCTTGGTAGACTATGTTTGAGAGCAACGACTGAACAACCTTAACTTTAATAATGCAATAATAAAACGAAGCATTTTCGCCATTGATAGAATAGGTAGTTGTGAACGGTTTAATAAAACGGTTTGGTTAAGACTATTGAAACTGAAGATCCTTTTTTACTTACCCTAAAATATAGATTGCAGCTTCCACTGAAGATCAAGGCAGGCAAATGCATCATTTTGGTTGTCACTGATCAAGTCCGGAATATGAGAAGTTAAATAGGCGGTGATGCATTTATCAGGTATACATGCTTGTATGCGTACCTTAGGTACCTTATATGCAATTGCTCCACCGCCTGACCGTGTTCATCGTCATGCCGGGGTTTCGGTCTGCTGCGCGTGTCTCGTGCTTCGTGCTTCGTGCTTCGTGCTGAAAGCTTGTCGCCTACTTTCTATTCCGCTTCCGTCGTCAACAGTATTAAATATTTACGATTCTAGCAAATTTCACACCTCCAGACCCGAGGAAGATACAGAAGCTCTTCGCCGTTTACTGTTAGCAATATTATTTTTCGTTAATCGGTACAATAACAGGTTTATATCTAAGGGCATGGCGCCACCCGCCGAGATCACCATCCCGACAACGTCGCTTCAAACCCCGGCCGACAATTCGAAACCATACACACTCTATAATATCACACTACGCCTTCCTCTACGGACGTTCGTCGTACAGAAGCGTTATTCCGACTTTGCCACATTACATCAAAACCTCACCTCCTTAGTTGGCGCACCACCACCCGCCCCTTTACCAGGGAAATCGTGGTTTAAATCTACAGTCACCTCCCCCGAACTCACCGAAGACCGCCGTCGTGGCCTCGAAGCTTACCTCCGCGCTATTGCTGAGTCCCCCGACCGAAGATGGCGTGATACGCCAGCGTGGCGCACTTTCCTAAACCTCCCGAGTCAGAGTAGCACCAGTAACAGCACAGCCAGCGTGAGAGCTGGCTATGGCTTTCCTAACCGAGATGCTGCGAATGCTGCCGCCGCACAGGACCCGGGGACCTGGCTCGATCTACATGGAGAAATGAAGAGAGATCTTCAAGAGGCACGGCGGTGTCTGGCAAGGAGGGACAGTGCTATGGATAATTCTGCTGCGCTCGAAGCCGGATCAGCTGCCAAGAAAGCGCTGGTCAAGGCTGGCAGCTTACTTACCGTTCTAGGAAATGGTCTTAGGGTGATGCAGGACGCGAAGAGGTTGGGCGATGGCGAAATCAGACGGCGGAAAGATCTGCTCGCTGCTGCACGGGTCGAAAGGGAGGATCTGGAGAAGCTGAGCACTGCGGTAACCGCGGTTGCAAAAGCATCTCAAAGGGCTATGCCATCCGCGGCCGACAAAGCCGCGTTAATCGGAAACGGACCCAAAGGACGCGGCAGGGTTCTCGGCGCCCCGCTACCCGAAAGCGAGCGTACCCGGGAATTAGACAACAGTGGAGTCGTACAATTGCAAAGGCAAATGATGAAGGAACAAGACGAAGACGTAGAAGAACTAGGTAAGATCATCCGGAGGCAGCGCGAGATGGCGGAAGCCATCAACCGCGAAGTCGAGGAGCAGACCGAGATGCTAGATCACGTCAATAGCCAAACGGATGTCCTGAGCGGCAAGGTCAACGTCGCTAAGAATCGTACTAAGAAAATCTCATGACTCGACCTGGTCATTGGATCGGCGGTTAAAGGGCTCCTCCTCTGGGTCGAGTTTGTTCTAAGGATCATCTGGCTCGTCAGAAGTATATTCGAGTGGATGGCCTGGTTAATTGAAAGCTTACTCTTATTAGTACTAACGGATTGATGACTGTTCCTATACATTTGAAGTCGCCATACATCGTTCAGCATCAGCATGTTAGTCCGTCTGGGCGACCTTTTCAGCGGCCTGTACGATATGATGGGTATTTTATCGGATAATGAGAACTGTACTTTTATAGACATAGCAACTTCGACATTGAGATACCAGTAGACTGAAGAGATTTCGTATATTTCCAAGCTAAATCATTTATCTAACCTAGTATCTCAGCCTTGGTCTTGAGGATACAACCAACATACCTACGTAGACATACAACGAGCACGCCTAGCAAAGCATAAGTGGGATAGGGGTGTTTGGAACGCTACGATATGTCGACAATCCTATTGGTATTAATCAATACGCCTTATGCCTCAACAAACAGCTTGTTGGTCTTTATCTAGGGTCAAAGGAACAATACCTTAGAAGCTGACTCGAATAGCTACAGATGCCTTGTTAATACTTTGTTAATATTTTGTTTGCCAATATCCAGCGTAATTTAAGTCAGTGTATGATCCAGAGATCCTGATATAAATCACGGGGAGCTGTTGCGGCAGTTCTACAGTAACGCCTCTTCCAGGTTTGAATTGTCATCCCTACGTTGGAATCATTCTTTCGTAAAACATGTATGTCTAGTTAACCGTCTAGGTTTGTAGATTGATCCTAGTTTTCCCAACCGTCTTCCGGTTTTATATTTAGAAAGGAGAGGCAAACAGCAAGATGCGTGACCATTTAATGATATATTCCTAGCAAAATATTATCCAACTTAGATATCTAAACCAGATCCTATCTCTACCGATCATAATGTACACTAGGGAGGATATAACTCAAATCTACCCCTAGGTGGATGCTACAAAACTATTGTTCTCTAATACTCAGATCAACCGACAACCTAGTCTTTGCGCCTAAGGAGACCGCACTGTTTCAAATAAAAAACAAACTTGATCGGGGCGCCCACCACATATAAACTGTTCGTAAATATAAAAGAGCGTTTTCAGGGCTCAGATAACAGATGAAGGTGCTAAAAAGCTTGCTATATGAAAATTAATTTTAAAAAGGCCGGACGTTCTTGGCCTCTTTGACGAAGTTCAGTATATATACTTCCGTAGTGACTCAGTCCGTTGCGAATTTACTTCAGTATCCCCCCTAATTGCGCTAGACGGATAGATAGTAAGGCTCAACATTCATAACTCCCGTCACGCCAAAACTTTACTCAAGTCGTCAGCTGGTAAAACATTCGTGAATCACTGACGTATACCTGGTACCTAACTAAGGCAAGAGTCACAGCCCTACAGAAGACAGAGCGCACAGGTACGTGCATATAAATAGCGGTACAACTCTGAATAAACTCTGAATTTGAGTCAGTGCGGAGAAAAGTAGGAGTCACTCACGATAGTTTCACTAAAACCTGGCGATATAAATGCTCATATAAATACTGATATAAATACTGACCGACGTCCCCCTCCCACCCCCAGGTCACTTCTTATTTTACACTCCTGGACGTAAACAAATTCACCATCATCATCAACTTCTTCCTATTTAATCCGAAACCACTCGTCTAAAATATTTCATCGGTTTCTACTTTCTTATTAAATCATCATCTTTCTACACACATCTACCTTGGGTAGCCTTAATAGTTACCTCTTATCGGTACACTTTTCGACTTCCACTAATTCCACGTCTCAATTACCTACAACTAAATCCAACCCGCCGTTTCCTCACACAGCTTTCGCCTCCATAATTATCTCTATTCTTATCCCTAATTTATTTACCTACCCAATAAGAAACCTCCAAGCTTTAATTCTCGCTCAAGGCATAATGGGGTCAGCGCGAGGTACCAAACCTGAAAAGGAGGCAAAGGTTATTGTCGCCGAGCGACTTAGAAAGGAGGCAAAGGCTATCGCCGACGACCGAAGAAAGTATAAGGAGAAGCATCGTTTGATGCAAGGATGGGTTTACGATAAGTACAAGCCCAGCACCGCTGGTAGCGATAAGGAAGTTCAACTCGATGCTTTTGACGAGGAAACCTCTACTGAGAACGCTGTTATCAGCACCCGGCCAGCAGAGGGTTCGGTCTGGCATCTTCCGACCTCATCAAATGGACGGCAAGGGCCAAGGGACTTGACTTTAGGCACGATGCTTGAAGCTGCAGAACGGTGCTACCAGATTTCCAAAAATGATTTCGACACTATGAGCTTATGTGACCATATCCACCACATCCAAGAAGTCTTACAACCAGACAACTCGCCGACGCCAGTCTCCGAAGCACTAGTGACTCAGCCTTTAGTAGTCCTAGCTCAACACCAGCTATATCTGGCCAAAAAAGACTACAAAGCCTGTGTAGCCAGGATCGCTCTTCACAGCAGCTTACCGGAAAGCGTGAAGCGAAACATAAAGACGTGCCAGGACTGTTACGATAGATTTCGACCTGACATAAAGTCCTGTTCTTGCGCCAAAAAGAAGCAGACCTGTCTCCACGGTCCCTGTCGCTACCACCCAGGTAAGCATTTCTATCGTTATAATATACACGTGGCAACCTGCTAATCAAATAAATTCATAGGGAATATTAAATGCTGGGGAGAGGATACCGGCATGAAAAATTACCTGGAGGAGAAAAAGGTCACTGCTAAGGAGTTCAACCTCTGGATTCACATGTGCTACTGGGACTGCTGCGGCGCCAAGCTGGTGACCGTCGATCCTAGTACGGCACGGCGTAGCCAGAAGAAAAAGAAGATTCCTCTGGAGAAATGGGAGATTGCGAATGATATTGATGGAAGCGTGGGTTGTAAGACCCGGGACCACCACGTCGCGATTCAGTAGCGTGTGTCACGAGGTGGAACTAAACAACATGGAAACAACTTCGTTGTTTCGCGAGGAACTCTAACCAATCTGGCGAGCCTATGGCTCGTATATACATACAATTTTCTTTGTTCTAGATGTCTCATCTAGAATCCTGACAGTGTTATCGGCACTAAGGATTCTTCTCGGAGTTATTGGATATTGGCGTTGGACCTATTAACCACTGATTTAAAAGGCCTAGCTCTGAAGGAGAGCGTATATATAGGACTATAGGAGGGAATATGATACCCTAGGGCGTTTAAAAACTGCTATATGAATTGAAAATCAGTAGTTCAATGATTTCTTAACTTATTCTTAGGCAAGATGCCGTGATAGACCCATCAACGGGGTACCTCGGGCAAGGGGCTCTGAGAAATATAAGGAGTCCAGGCTGGACTAAGTCTAGAATTTCCATACTTCAACACAGCCGTAGTCTCGTTTGTTAGGTACTCAGATCCTGACATTCTGGGGTTGTGCGTAGTATACATTCAACCATGTACTATTTATTTAAAGGTGCTCGCGGAAATGACAACAGGTATACCAAACGTCCCTTGAGCTGGTATTCGAGCGACTCCTTGGATATCGTAGTGGCGATTATAATACCGTTACGGGGGAACCCCTGGAGTATCATAAGTTTGAGAGGACAGGGCTAACCAGAGAGGCGGGCCATAGCTTAATAAATGCCACCGTCGTAAAATACCTAAAGTCCCTAGGTTAGTTGGCTCCGATGGCTATAATAACTAATATATCTAAATCAATCTCGGTCTTCTGTTTGGGTTTCTAGGAAGGAAGACGAAGGAGAACTATGTTCTGAAATAACTCGATTTACATATCTAATTTTATTTTATACGTTCTATATATGAACGGCGTCATTTAGTAACACGTTTACGCTATGGAGTAGATACTACTTTTACCTAATCTTAGTTTGTAGTATCATTGCTTTTGGGAACTTCATCCTCAACATCGGAGGCTTCCTCCTCATCAGAATCTTCCTCCTTCTCCTCAGATGTTCCCTCTTTTTTCCCAGAGGTCCCTTCATCCTTCTTCGGCGCGGCTACGTCGCACCAGCATTTCCAGAAGAGAAACCCGCATCTATCGCATCTCTCGTCTGGCCCACATTGTACCAGTGGGACGGGTGCCTCGATGATGCTCTCAACTCTAATAGAGGGTAGGATGATGAAGGTGTTGTTGGAAATCATTGTGAAATCAGTGAATATGCGTAAGCTAATTAGTTAAAATGATTAAATGACGATTATGATGATGATGATGATGATGATGATGATGATAAGAACGTAAATTATTCCATGGCTATATTCATTTTATATAAACATGGCCTATAATCTCAAAATATGACACATCAAACCACGCAAGTAACAAATTCGCTGGTAACAAAGTGAGTTTTCCGTAGTGTTAACCCCAACATAGCCTAGATTTTAAATTCGTATAATTCCTACAATGTAATCGTCTTGAAGAGAAAGAAAGTATGCTCAAAACGAGCCCTTTTCCTACGCAACGATACCGTCAGATAGTAACAACACCTTAATATCTTCCTGTGTTCCTTGAGCTCTACCAGAACATTCGCCTTGTCACTGTGTCTATGGAGTCGAAGCTAAGACGTAAGGATTGTTTTCTGTTATTATAACAAAGGGCTGTTCAAAGTAAATATGATTCCTTCGATTATTACTCGCAAGACTTGACCCAAAACGTGACTGTAAGCTCTTAGTTTCTTTTGATGTCGACATTAAAAATACCGCCCTGTATGCACGAATACCTTATGTAGTATATTATACTTGTACGTCACCGTCCGGTGTCTACCTGACTTTAGGGTAGAAAATCCCGTCACGCCGGTTCGAAGGAACTTTGGAGCATTTTCGAAACTGTGTGTTAGATTGGTTTTTTCTCCAACTACGTTCTTAGCCGGGACTCTATTGGTAAGTCTACTGCTTATTCTCATAGTAATCCAATAGATGTGCGCAATAAAAATTGCGCGCTTGCATAGAGATACCCGAACATGAGCTCTTCCGCACTAACATCATGACTGCCAAGAGAACGTCGTCGAATGTACCTATGTTATTGATCTTCAATGTGCCTGCATATACAGTAGCTAACACTCTAAACCGTAGATCATCACGTCAACTTCTTACGCGGCAATTCCATTGATAGCCAAAGTATTCATTGAGAGAGTGCGGCTCCGAACGCATCGCAGCGTTTCCGAAGGACCTCTTGCCGGTCAGTATCCACGTGAACTGAGACAGGATACAAGATAACCGGGTCCGAAGCACACCGGTATGCGGGTTTCAGCCACTCGGGGCAGCCCTATATCATGTAGATGGAAACCACCCTATAGGTCCGTACGTTACGGCCGAGGATATTCACCGCGCTTAGGTCTTAGACGACTGCTTCTGCGCTGCATAATATAATAAAGATCGTCCCCTCTATAGACCTGCTGACCGATAAGTCTTCTTAAGGTATCAGATTTGTCTTACTCGTAACACCAGCGTACTCCAGTACTCGCCACGTCCTTCGACTAAGACATAATCGGAGTTACAGCACACCGGTGGGCGTCGTCATGTCTATCATAATATTCTAAGCGCACCAAAGCCACTGGAAGAGCCTCCCGACCGAGCCTTCCTCGGAATTACCTAGGTATAGAACTCGTCAGAGTCGTGGGAATCAGAGGCGAGTTAGTAGTGAGATCGTGGTAATAAATCTTAGCTGACTATTCTTGGCGATGATTGCGTTTCGATTTTTACGAAGATGGTCATACGGCCCTGGATCGACTGTATGGTTGAACATAAACCTTCTAGAATATTTAGCGGCTGAAAAATAGCGATCAATGGCGTTGAGGCGGTATTGATAGCCAATCCGTTCTAGTCACGCGTCGAGCTGCGACGCCGTCTCACTAGTGATGAACCAATCTCGTAAACTGAACTATGTGCGGACTTTCTCGCTTGGGATAGCTCGCCCCAATGCGGGCCGAGCAGCTTGCGTGGTCTTAGCCGGGGACTGGAGGGGCGATCCACGACTGTAATAGAGGTAAGACCTTTACAGGAAAAGTTTGATGATGAGTGTCAATGAACCACTACAATTATCCCTAACGGTTTGGTATCGATGCAATGTTATATATGAGCCGGACGCTTATACGAGATATAGGTTCTTATATTTGCTAAGCTTAGATACTCGTAGACTTATCATTGCTTGTTGACTCGTCACTTTATCCTATCAGTGTATGTGTAACGGGTTTCGGCCTGAGTTGATAGAAAAGGTGACAGGGCGGAACTACTCGATTTGGACTGGGTAAGATGTTGTCAGCTGTTACACAGGCATGTTGTGGGATGGCGCAAGCGTGGCCAACCACACGCCTTTTCCGTCGCCGTGATGATTATCGGAGGGAACGCTAGTTAGCGTGTGGGTATGTGTGTGCGAGGCCGAAATCCCATGCTAGATGTGCGTAGCCGGAGAAGAAGAACGGCGAGGGAGGTGGATCTATGTAGGTGCGTTGTCGATCTAAAATCAGGGTCGTCGGCTCAGGGAGGTGAGTCGTCTTAGTTAATAATGGTATTAGGCGATTGGCTCCTCGATTAATAGATCCCATTGCGATTAGCTCGAGGGTGAGATGGTTTGCCGGGTTTGGGTTCCGATTTTCTTCGAGACGGCATGGGTTGAAGCGGATATATCTAGAGGCTTGGCGAGTGAATTATCTATTACCTATGCTGAGTTGCGAGACAGCAAGACTTATGAACAGGATTCGACGGTGTGGCTAATCCACGTTTCATCTACGGATTTGGGTAGGTATGCCACGTTGTCCACGACGCTGGTGGTGGGCAGGCCGAGTAAGTAAGAATGCGGTTTGGTGATACAATTGTGTTCCCGCATTAGACGGGCCCTTGCTTTGAAGGGTAAGAGGCGTGAAAGTGACAAAGTTGTATATACGTAAGTAGGCTATCAGGTTGTATGTTAGGTAAGTGGCGAGTAGATTCCGCTATTGTAATAATGTTGAATCCGTATTCGTCTACTATCAAACGCTCAGCCACGGCTAGTCGACGTGTAATGGTAGAAATACTGTCGTAATGTTGGACTTGAACTGTTAGAATTACTTAAAACAAATAAGACTACCTAGACTAATTAGTTGACTGCCTCTCTGTATTCTATAGCTGGTAAGGGTCCACCAAGAAGTTGGATGTGAGTCAACTTTGGTTCGGGCATTTGGTTCTACAGTATATGAGTGCAGCAATCGCTATTAATTGGTAAAGTATGACGACATGCTGTTATAGAAAATGCTACTCTCTATGCACTTCGCAGAGCTGCAATACGACCCTTATCGTTCTCACATCCAATGTCCTTTCATGATATGACGAGACCAAACTGCCTGAAGCCATAAGTAAAGATGGCACGCGGCATGCGGGCAGGACATCGTTATAGGATGTGATCTGCACGTCGGTGAAAAAAATTCCCATGACTTGCAGTAAATTAAGTGCCCATTAGGCGGGTCTAATATTATTATTAGTTCCTTAAGTGGGCTCAAGGTTGGTTGCATAAGATCCAGCCCGCGGAACAGTTGACTATCGGTTCTGGACACGGCAAGCCAACGGCTTGTTATGGGACCCATTGGGTGTGACAGTAAACTGCAGGATGACAGAGTATCCCACACAGGCGGCTCTCCAGTTCCAGGGCTTGGTCATCTAGAGTCTTCTTCGAACATAGGTTTGATATATTGTGGCAAGAACCTACGTACAGTCGTTTGTCTAGTCGAATTGAACTCATCGTATACATACACTCGTCTGTGCCCGATAAAACACTCGAGGGCTGATAACTGGTAGGCCGATGGTTCCATGTGGTCTGACAAGAACCAAAACCTGATAACTACAAGATATCAGCAAGTCTTTGCGGTAGTACTATGTACGCTTCTGCTCTATCCCGATAGCCCGATAACTTAGGACCAGTGGCTTATATCTATGGGGCTACGGATGGGGGCACGTTGTATTATCTCTTCCAACTGTCCAGCTGCCCTGACTGCCAGGAACTGAGCTAGAGATAGCGCATTTAATAATCAGTGACTAATGAATAGCCCACGCCGCTTGATACTGTC